CGGTGTATTTTTAACGAGGATGCAATAACCTTACATTTCTTTAAAAGAGTATTTATTGTCAATTCCTAAAACAACTGGTGCCTTTGTATATATTAATAGATGAAAAATTGTTTCATCCAATTGATGAAATAGCTATTTTTTGGTTTTTTTTTAAAAAAAAAGTAATCAAGTTGTAAAAAAAAAAAAGAAAAAAAAACAAACAAAAACCTTGTGTTGGTTTACTTTTATAAATAAATTTTTAATCTTTATTGATGAATATAATCTAAACATTAGCACATCTTTTTATATTTAGATAGAGTTTACAGATAGATAAATATATACATATATATATATATATATATATATATATATATATTCTTTATTTCATAAACTATCCATACAGCTTTGAAGATGAAGAGCGAACTAGAAAAAAGGTATTAGCAAATTTTGGTTATCTAATTAAAAATAGATAGAGCCAGTTTCTTGAGCTAAGAGAGTAAAAGACATCACAAGCACTAAATATGACAGACTCAAAAACCCAAATGACCGTAAGGCGCCGTCGGGAAATCAAAGCAATATCAAAGCGACAAGAGAAGACGACTTGGCGGCTAGTTTGCCACCTAATATTGCGATTAGCTTGAGTATTCTACTTGTTATAGTCTAAACAATTATAGAGTATGTCCTCTTTTTGAAACTTTTATCCCTTAAATAAGTTAAATAGAGAGTAATACGAACCAATTCCATTGGATTTACGGCCAGTTTCTTCTAGATTCTTGCCGTTTTCTGAATGAAATTTTCGAAGCACTGGACCCACTGCAAACAGGGTTTTTCGAAGTTTATCCATTCTAATATTGAGAATTGATCCTTTCCGCTCTTTACTAAAATTTTACTTACTAATGGCATAGAGAAATTTCACATTTCCCCTCTCATCTTCAGAGTCTGTCGACGGATGCATGACTATTCCGACGTCACCGTTAATAGATGTCGTTTTTAATACTTCTGCGCCATCTAGCTAATGATATCATTTACTGATTTAAAAATTATCTTTAACATATCCTAATATGATAAAATTAATAAAAAAAGAACCGTTAACGTAAGATAAATAATAGAAGATGATAACGTATATATTCTATTTCCTTTTAATATCTGCAACTCTATTAGCCGTAATAGATAGATTACTTATGCTAATCCTACGATTATCGATACTTATAGTCCAAGAATTTTCAAAGGAATCAATGGTATGCATAATTTATTATAATAATATTATTTATTTAGTATAACTATAAACGAATCAGATTTTGCATATCCTTCATTATTTAATCCTTAGTTAAACTTATTGAATTAAATTAATTTTTCTATGTCTAAATTAACTAAAATTGATTATAATCATAAAAAACAACTCTCTTTTTTTATGTTGCCCTTTTCCATCAAATAATAACATTACCCTCTCCTAAAATTTTACTTTCAATTCAATATTTTAACCTTAATCCCACTTGAAAACCAAGTGAGCAGTTTAATTTTATACTTTCTATTATTGGTTAGAAAGAGATTGAAAAAAAGGAGGTAAGAAAAGGTCAGTGGAGAAAAACAGACACTGAAAAAAAAACAACAGGCACATGCACATATACACGTATACACTCACATATATTCATACATACATACATGCGTTCAGTACACATGATGTCAATACTAAAAATAGCATAGTACTCAACTATACAATAGTACATTGAAGATAGAACAACAACAAAGGAAAAGATGTTGTAGATTCTATTAATTACTAATATAATTAGCCATTCAAGTACTTTTTTAATGTTGTTTGGAGTAGTTTACTAATTTGAATATGCACAAATTGATAAAGATTACAATTATCCCTTTTTTTATATTTCTTTATGAATAACGATCTTTTTAATTATTTGTTTTAATATAAAAATATATTCGTTATCGAATAAATAGAAAAGAAATTGCATTTTCTTCTTTCTCTCTCCTCTCTCTCTCTCTCTCTCTCTTTCGCTTTCTCTTTGTTGTTACCTTTCTCAGTTTCTTTTTATTAATTTTATCAAAAGCCTATTTTCTTTACCTTTTTAGTTCAAATACTTAAGAAAATCATAAATGATTGTTTCATAAAAAATAGATATACCGGAAATTTACCGATTTTCGGGTAAAATAACTAACAAGATACCTTTTCATTTTGAAATATAGTAGTGTAAATATAAAAAAAATAAACTAGAGTAGGATAGATATATAGGCTAAGAAATAACAGTAGGCAAAATGACTCTGACAAGTGGAACAAAGTCTTCTTATGTTAATAAAGAGAGAAATCGAATATATTTTTTTTTGTGTTTATAGATAAACATATAAAAAAAAATTTGCATTTTGTATAAAAACAAACTTATTACTTTTACTTTTCCTTTTTTTCATCAATTTTTATTCATTTGATCATTTATAAATAAAATTACTATTATTACTATTATTCCATTCATAAAAAAAATTCGTTAGAATAAATAATCATTTGTAATTAATATAATTGATAATGACAAAAATTTCTCTCTCTTTTTCCCGACATAATAGTTAAAAATTATGGAAGTTATCGTTAAATTTCATTGGAATGGATTTGTATTAAATGTATTGAAAATGATTAATTGGAAAGGGAAAGATTTAAGAAACATTATAATTCAGGAACTTCTTCTAATTGCAAAATTTAAATGGTAAGCATGCATTGAAGATAATCTTTTGTCAATGTTTAACAGATTACTTGAGTTAGCTCCGCCTCATGACGTTTCTTCTTTCAACGCTCTGCCCAGTCTAAAGTCCATAACAGTTTGAATCCCAAGAGATATTTCGTCATGTCTATATCACTTCCAGCTAAAGCAGAGAGGTCCATGTAAACCCATTTGTGATAACGCATTTTTTTGTCCTTATATAGAGCTATATAAGACAGATTTATAGATGAGATATTAAAGGGTAAAAGGGGCTATTTTTTTATTTTGATGACATTTGGAAACTATAGATTTTTTTCTGGATCTATGTTAACAAAAATTATCAATAAATCTGATCATAAGAAATGGTCCCTATGCAATGTTATATGCACTAATTCCAAGACCTCCATATACTAGATATATCTTATTATCTGCTTCATCATAATGCTATCCTTGAACTATTAACCTAAAAAAAATGCAACGATTTAGGTACAATTCTCAATTTTCAGTTTTCTCGCCTCACAATATCTTTCGTGCTCCTTTTTTTTCAAAGTTGATAGATAGGAGACTTGCCCACAGAGCCGGAAACATACGGCTAATGAGATTCAGATCCCATTAAAAAATATCTTTGTCCCTGTTAACACTTGATAAATATAAAAAAAAATAATTAGATATATTATCTAATATCTTAAAAGTAAAAAATCTATCAATAAACATACGCATACAAGTAAAAAAAGACTTGTACTGTATACGTAGAGTATATATGTGCACAATATCCTGCATGTAAATAGTTATACTTGTTTACATAGACAATAAATTGTCTACATAGATCACATAATATTTAGATAGTAAATAAGATTCTAAGATAATGACCTTATTAATTATTAAAATATTTTTTTTTTAATAATATCAATCAACTAATTTTTTAAATATTAATAAAAATTTCAATTTATCAATTCGTTAATAACAAAAAAAGGAAAACAAATTCCATTAATGCAATGATATTAATAAAAGTCAATAGTATAAAAATACTATAGATAAAAAAAAAGTAGAAACATAACTAACAAACTAACAGATTTCTTTTTTCTCTTTTTGTTTCCTATCTATGCTTTTGCTTGGAATTGTGATTTAGTATAATTAGGTCGGTTTACTTAGAAAAATCTTTTGATGTTTCTAGCTATTTTATGTCCGTCTATCTCTCTCTCTCTCTCTCTCTCTTTCCCTCTCCCTCCCTTTCTCTCTCTCTCTCTCTACAGATCAATAAAAGCTCATTTTTAAAATAGTACAAAAAGAGAAAAGAAACAAAAAAAGTCTGTTTTAATCTATTATTTTTTAATTGTTTTTTTTTTAAAAAAAATACAGTAAGAATGTAATTTTGTTTCTATTAATTGATTCAATTTAAATCAATTATTTTTCAACAAAAGCAAAATTAATAAAATTTGGCAATTTTGTTTTCAAGTGTCTAATTAAAAATCAGAATAAAATAAATATCGAAATATGTTTATTCTAAAAACGAAATAAAAAAAAAGGCGTCGAGTAAAATGCCAGGTCAATAATTCGGTTGGACGTCAAGTCGAATCGACAAAAAAAACCAGCCTAAACTATTCGACGCTTCACGTATTTTCATCACCGACAGCTAACAAAAGAACGATAATTATTTTTTAATGTTTTTTTCAATTCTCATCTAATTGCTCCTCTTTCCCTATCTATTAGCTGTCTAACTTATCTCTTTCGCTTTTTCTTCCCTCTCTTGCTCTGTTTTTCATTTTCAAATAGGCCTATTCTAACATTCTTAGCAATCCACGAAAAACGCTTACTATCAGTAATTGAGGAGAAAAGAAGAAAAAATTAGAAATAAAGAGAGTATCTAATTTTATACTAGAATGAAAGAGTTTCTACTTTAGGTCTAGATCATTTCTCTTTGTGAATATAGAAAAGAAAATTATCGATCATTAAGTGTCTTTAAATAGAGTTCATCAACGTCGGTCTATGGTCAAATAGAATCGAATTAATTAGAGTAGTTTACACAATTTGAAAAATTCATTTCTACTATTTTGTTCCATTAATGATAAAAGAAGAAAAGGATCATTATGTTTTGGCTTTAAAGTTGTTCTTGTGAGTGAAATAAAGCTGATTTTATAGTAATAATTAAAGGAGCAGGGAACATTGTCTTTCCAATTTAACATCTTATTTATCTAACTTTAATATGTTTATATTTAGAAAACGACGAAATTATCTTAAGAATAATTAATTCAATAACTTACCTACTTAATTAATAATGATTGTTTATATTTACACTATAACGATTTTTTATTTCTTGTTTTATTAAGAATGAAAGTCACCGGATAATTCAGCTTGTTCTTGTGCATCTATTCGATGAGGAAACCATATTTGAGCAGTAAATTTTCTTTTTTTATTAAAATATTGACTTTCGATATTCCAAGATAAAGAGTGACCATAAATTGGTTGAATCAATAATGAGTTGGATGTAGTAGGGGAAGAGTTGGAGCAAATTAATATAACTTTACCATTTGATTCTCCCATCCTTTTCCTTTTACTTGCTGTCATTACACCACAAGACTCAAGTATGCCAGCTAAATATTGTATATACCGCACTGCCAGCCTTAAAGTGTCGACTTTTGATAGTTTTTTATCACTTTCGCTTGCAAAGGGAACTTTAGCCCTCAGGCGCTCGAAGGCGTCATTTATCGTTTTCATTCTTTTACGTTCCCTCATATTTGCCGCCTGTCTTTGAGCATTTTTTCTTATTTGCTTTCCGTCAGTTTTTTCATCATAATACTCAGTTTGTTGGTAACCACTCAAGTACCAATTAATATTAAAATCTATGTCACTGCAATCATTATTTGTCGGTAGCATGTCCCGTCCATCGAAATATTCGTTAAAAATTCTCCTTTCATACGACTCCATCCCTTATATTTAAATTAAATAAATATAAAACTAACGATATTGGAATGAATTTTAATTGATAGACTAAGAATTCCAAATACTATAAAGTAACTTGTATAAAGATCACTTTGTGCGTTTAACTGTGTAAAATACCATATGCTCTCCTTCGATGAACATTACTTTATAAAAAGAAAACAATACGTATTTCTACATGATCTATATTTATCATTTTACCAATATTTTCAACCTATTCATCATCATCTCGTTGTCTTATTAGGTAAAAAAAAAAACTAACAGCGATTTCGACTTAATTCATTTCTAATCTAAATCCTTTTTACAAACTGTCAAGCGCCATCTTTTGAAATCTATAGAAATGATTTTTTTTTCTTTTCTGTATCTCTTCTTTCTCGTATCCTGTATTTCTTTACTGAATGTCAAATTATATACAAAATATGTAAATTTTCATTTTTTATCATTATAATGAATTAAAGAAACTTTATCAATTTGCATTAAATAATGTTTATTTTTAGGGATAAAATGAAACCTTTCGCGAATTAAACCACCAACTAGAAAAACACTCTAATATTATGATATTTTGCCTCTACTATACCACAAGGTAAGCAGGAAAAATAAACTGTTTATCCCAAGGTTAGCTTAATGAAATGATTATAAACAAATACTGCGTCTAGTTGTCTACATAATTCATTAGTTCTATCTCTTACTTTCTACAATACATACACAATCACTCACTTCCTTATTCCTATAGCTTATTAATGAAGATTTTCATTAGTATTAAGAAAAAAGATATGAAAAGAAATCCTTCATTACTTCACTCTTCTTGTTTCTTTAGCTTTTAGTACATAAACAATATACAGTACACGTGTTATTTTTGCCAAGTAACTTTGATAGTTATCTACTGTACTTGATAAAATAAACCAATTTTCTATATTTGTCATTATAGTGTTTATTAATATCTTTACTGTGATTAATGGTTTTTCCTTATCATTTTTGTTTATTATAAAAGTTTAATGCTGAGAGTGAGCTTGTCAACTAATTACCGTTAAAAATCTTAAATATAAGGAAGCTTTCTGTAAGCTTCAGAATAAATGATACATGTTTATTTATTCATTGGTATTCTTAAAAAAATAAATTTCTCGAATATCAATTATTTTCTCTCCTTCTTCATCCTATAGTCTTTCTATCTCTTTGCTAATCATCTGATAAATCATTCAATAAGGAATCAATCATTTTTGTTTTACTTTTTCCTATACAAAAAACATCGAAGAAGTGGTAGGAAGAGATTGAAAACCGTTGAAAGATATTTTGTTTTTCAGACGATTCGTGACATGGAAAAAATGATAAACACAAAAGCAGCCAATCATAAGTAGAGATGAACGAGATTAATTCTTTTTTTGAGAAATTTTATGACTTTCATCTTATTCTATTCATAATCGATATTTTGGAATTTTGTTAAAATGTTCCTTACTTTGGGGAAATGGCTAGAGAAAAGTAGAAAATGCAATTCAAATTCTTCTCTCTATTTGGAGTACTTTCAATTTTCTTATAATTTCTTTTCCATCTTATAGAATCTTCATGAAAAGATAATGAAATTACAAATGATAATGTTTGTAACCTAGTGCAAACAATTGTTTCCCATAGCCAAATAGGATTCGCTCGTTTCAAATGACTTTCGTACAATATTTTTCCCCTCCTGCTTCAAAAAAGCATTATAACTAATAGCAACAAAGTCTTGATAGAAATATCCATAGATTTAGTTGATACTATTAAACATTCTGGAGTATTCGTGTAATAACTCGCAAAGCTTTCTCAAATGATTTCCTCCCTAAGTAATACAAACTGTCCTGTACGTTTTGTCAATTGCCAAAGTTAAATATGTGCTTCTTCAGGTCGACATACTCCCAATTAGCCTAGCTTTTGCCAATCTTATTTATTCCATGATGAATTACTGAGGATAAAATTCTTTAGGAATATTATCTTTTTCTTCTTGTTAACTATATTTAATAAAAGATTTTTATTAATATTCTATTTTTCAAAACCAGTTATGTAACAAACCTTTGAAGAGTAATAGTATATTTAAATAAATCAGTTTATTTTCATCGTTTCCTCCTTACAACAACTTATTTAAAGTAGAGAAATCATACATGAAAATAATTCATCAGCTTTAATTTTAATAGTTGTAAATAAGCGTAAAAGTAATGATAAAGCATTTAATAAGTATAGATTAACTATGAAATGGAAGAGAAATGTTTAAATTGGCCGAGAGTATATGATAGTTTGAAAATCCTATCAAACTGATCAATCATTATATAAACTGGAGATCTTTATCAAATAGATGCAATCTAAAACGAAACAAAAACGTTTTTGAAGGAAGTCCCTTGATATTTTATTAATATTTATAAATATTTAATAAATTAAATAGTAATTATTTAAAATGCTTTTTGTTGATTACATGTTCAAGATTGACTAAACAAAAGGTCTCTAAAGACAAGCATCTAACAGCTAAGCTGAGACTATATCTCTTGTTTGCATAATCAATATCTTTTTATTACATATAAAATGACTAGAAATAATTAGAACATGTGTTGCATACTATTTCAAAGTTGTCTTTTGTCAATAGTAGTATTCAAAAGGATTTTATATGAACCTAGCAACTCGAATAGTTTTTACCGTGTAATTTCTTATCGTTCATAAGAATCACATCTAAGAGACATCGATTAAAAACTTATTAAGTTACTTTACTATACTTTCACTTTTATTTCCACCTATTTTAATATAAATAAAGTAAGAAGATTCTGTTAGAAGTAGTATTGTTCATAAGCAAAACGTACCATCCTTGTTTGCTTGTCGATATCCATATCAATCATTCATCATTTATATCCATCAAAAATGGAACTTTGCCTACAACTTTTATTTCCTAAACAATTTTTTATCTTTATTCGGATATCTATCTCAAGATTTATCTAAGCTAATTCAGATAAAGCACTTTTCTGGTACATATATTTTTAACATTAAATGAAAATACTGATTTACGTAAATAAATAGCTTCATTTAAAAAACTATAACCATACTCGACTTTTCCTTTGTTATATATATTGTATATATAAACGAAAACCAAACTCTTATCGAACTTGTGTCTATTTTTATTCATTAAAATTCTATTCACGACCTAATGGAAATTATTTATATTAAGCCTTTAGAAATTTATTAACGAGCATATATAAAAGAATCTATCAAGACACAAGATCCAATTCAGAATCATAAAAATTTATTTCTAACTCATTTATTATGCAGCATGTTCCCCCTTTTATTTTTTCAAAACAAAATACATTCAATTAATTTAGCCATTATCGGAAGCATAGGTTTACCGGAAATGGTCATTTATTTTTCTTCTAAATGGATAGATAAAAAAGATAAGGTTATGGAAAATATATATATATATATATATATATATATAGTATTATAAAGTTAAATAATTTAACATAATATTTATACATAAATACATAATATAAATTGATAAAAAAGAATATGTGCAATCAATAACATTCTATACTGACAAGCCTTCTTTCTCTCTTTCTCTCGTTCTCAAATATATTTAGTTACATTGTTAAATATTCGTATTATTGAAAACTGTTCCTTATCATTTCTATATGCCCTTAAAATCATCTATATAATTCGGTTATAAAAAATAGATGAGATTACGAATGATAATCAAAGTCCTGCGTGAGGATATTGTGCAATAAATTTCATTAATTTAATTTGAAATATAATAAAAAGCTATAAAAGAGATAATGTTAATGTTAGTTATTTAGATTCCATAACTAGTTAACTTTAGTCATTTAGATTCCATATAATTAATTACCAGTCATTTTCGGTTAGTCTATAATGCAAGTGAATCTTAAGAATGTTGATGATACGATGGTTTAATCATCTCAAGTAGACCAGTTCAGTTTAATAATATACAGCCTTTATAATTGTATTTCCCCCCAGATACTTAGGTTGGCTATAACAATAAACATAAACGTAATGATTGTTAAATAGTTTTAAAAGATATTTCATAGGTTTTCTTTGCATTAAACATATGAATTGATTATGAATATCTGATTATTTATTTTGTCATAAGACATTGAATGGGTGCATTATATTGGTTAATATATAAATATATACTAACACAAACTGCATAATTTCGAGAATTACATTAAAAAGTCTGTTTGATAATGTATTAAACTATAAAGAAAATAAATGAATAAATTACGTATTCTCCATACTCTTTCTCTTGTAAAAAAAAAAACAGTTATTGAATAATCCATTTTTTTTCTCACAGCTATTTAATAAAATAGAAAAATCCCTAGTGACGAGGAAACTGCAGTTCCTATATCAATTTATATTAGAAATAGCATAATAAGAATTCTTAGAATTAAATTAGAAAAGAGATGGGAGAGTAATCCTTCGCTCGAAATCGAATATATCAATTATCTTGATAAAATTATTGAGTAATATTAAGTTTTGGATAAAAAAGACTTTACTCTTTGAAAATTTTTTGTCAATGATTAATCAATCAAATTTGTAATAACTTTAAGTAGGAAAAGTGGAAGAAGAAAAACTAAAGTTAAATCAAATCTTGGAAATTCGCTACACGGATGCAAATATACCGTAAATGACCTTAAGATATTAATAAACAGTCATATTTATTATCAAGGTCGAACATATATAATTCTGAATAATCTAAATATAATTATTTTAGTTTCCAAACAGATGACACCACCTGCTTATATTAGCTATTTTTGTAAAAATATTGTTTATGAGAAAGCCATTATAGTACCTGCATTTATGTAAAAACGCTAACACAAAAGAGAGAGATTGTCTTGTTAAAACTGCAAAGTATAAAAAATGATAAAAATTATTATTTTGCAGTATTTAATTTCTTTTGTAAAGATTTTGATTACTTATCTCACCTTACACAAATAAAATAATTTGATACTTTTTATATATATATACATATATATATATATATATATATAGTATATGGAACTTTATCTTAATGCATAATGAATATATATAATTGATGGTTTCTATAGATATTTAATAATAACTTTTTTAACAAATTTCCTACACACATACATACTATATAATATACAATACATAAGTTAAGACCATCTGCAGTGTTAATAGATTTTGTATTTTATTATAAATACTTTAATTTTTAACAACTTACCTATACGAAAATACATAAATGCATAAATTAAGACAGAGTAGGTATATTACAGGTAAAAAGAAACTTGTATTAATTGATAAATTACAAGAATATCCCTGGCTTATAGTTTGGAAAAGAAACTATACATTTTTAAATATAATATATTCAATTTTTCGTTCATTGGAGTTATATGTTAATTATTACATTGGGAGCTAGCTTTGTGTAAAATCCATCACTATTGAACAGTCATTAAGGCACCAAAACTCTCATAAACGATATGCCAAAAAGTTATTTCTATAAAGGAGAATAACATATTTTAATACATTCTACATTCAGATGCGTGATATTGAAAGTATTCAAAATCACATTCCATTTCTCTCATACATATAGGACAAGTGTGCGTTTTATGAACTCTCTTCTGAGATCTTGTCTTTGGTCTAATATCTTCATCCGAGTTAGACTCTCTTATTTCATCTAAATTTATATCGTTTAATTTTCTTTTTTTATGAGGAGCAGCAACTGCATTGCTTTTTACTATCTTTGAATCATTTTGTTCATTATAATTTGCATTTTCGTTGCATTTCTTGTCTGAAATATCCAATGTAGAACTGGACGATTCTATATAAAATATACAAAAAAAAAGCATATTAACAAACATACATTTGCATAATGTTAAAAAATTTCCTCATAGGAATTACCTTCATTGTCAATAACTGGAATCTTCACTCGAATCAGCCTTTGTCTGGAATACTTTAAAGATAAACTAAAGAAATAATTATCCATAAATTCATCAGTGCAAAGTTTTGAGAGTGATTTTCCTTTCAATAAATCAGTTCGAAAACGAGGGCATTTCAGAAGATGTTCATTGCTTTCAGTTTCGGATTGCTAGTGAAAATAATACAATATCATTAATAGAGAGAAATCACTAGAGCTCTCTTTAAGTGAACAAAACAAGCTTACGGTTTCTTTGGAAGATATTCCATCGTTATTACTATTTTTCTGGGCTATAGCAGATTTGACTCGTTCGTCTATTTCAACTATTCAATGAAAAGTAAAACTTTAAAATTCTGCTTATTGACAACTTGATAATGAAAAATACAGACAACTAATATGGGACTCCACTTCATCATCCACGCTATCAATAATTGCTTCCTTTTCTTTTCTGAAGTCAACAGCTCTTCGTTTTCTACGACTTTTCTAATAAATCAAAAAAAAAAGACTTTTAGAATAGGACATATTATAATATATAATATTTTGTAATTACCATAATTTGGACTAGGAAAGCATCTGTTATAAGCAAACCTTTGTCGTAATAGACCTCATCTTCAGTCGCACTCTTACCTTTAAAGAAGGTTATACTCAAAAAATAGATGTTGACCTTATTAAATCCTCAATTAATTAACTGTAATTACCTGTATTTTTATTGTGGATTTCCTTTTCAACTTTGGCAGATTTTTTGACTCGATCATCTATTGATGGAAATAAACAGCAATTTAATTGATGCATAAAAATCATACCTTAACCATTAATTGTTAAATTATACTAATTGCAATATGCTGTACTAACCAGTAGCTTTGTTTGTTTCAGTTTGGTCTATGCAAATGTCTTCATCATCTTCAGCATTGCTATTATCGCTCTCGTCGTCTGTACAGCAATTTTGGTCAGTCGTCTTGGATTTTTTTGCATCATACTCTTCATCAGTATGGCACTGGGATGTATCTTTACGTCTCTTATTACGAGTAGATATATAATTTTTTTTTTCTATTTGCGAGTCTTCAGATGAAATATTTTCAGTGAGTTCCATTGCTCAATTTGAGTCTACACATCCACCAAAAATCTATTATTCCCTTAATTTGGAAAAATATACAAATCTATAAGCTTATTTTAATTAAAAAAGAGGTTAAATTACCTTTCTGCAGTGTAAAAGATATTATTCAATGAATGCATTCAATGATTTTCTTGTCGTGCTTAATGAACTGTGAAATTTTTAGCACAGTTCAAAAGAGAAATAATCTACAAAAATCTTTTTGATGATATTTATAAATATTTTAGATAAACAAATTGATTATTTTATGAAAACTATGGCTAAAAATTAAAGGAGAGTTGCGCAAAGCTTAGAATCGGCTTCCTGCCATTAGAGTTAATTCAACGAACGGATGGGAGCTGGAACCTCTCTATATTTCTAAAATGTGACTACCTGATCGGTTACATTGCGACAGCATGCCATACCTATTACGTCTTATCATAAAAATGGCGCTTGCTGATGACAAACATTAGCAAAATAGTAGCTTATTTTTTGATTTTTTACGCTACTTTGGTCCATCACGAACTAAATTTGGACCGTTGATGCAAGAATAAAGTTGTTAAGTTGTATTGGACAAGCTGTCGTTTTATCTCTATTGAAGAAGAAAATATTAAATTCTGTTTGGTAGTTTTCATCCTTATCATTATGCTGCATGCTGTGGAAGATCCGATAGAGTCTAGCAAATATGGGAATTACTAAAACACCCGCGATCCCCAACGAAATCAATATGAGTGAGCCGCACGACAAAAATGATACAGCGAATCGAATTCGGGAAAAAATAAATGGCCAGGGTAAAGTTCACACAGAGAGAGCTAACTTCGGTTCTCCACTGGAATCTGACGATTCTGAGTCTTCGTGCTCGTCAAGCGACGATCATGATAGGACTATGAGAAGAGATTGTTCTAGCTCAGATACAGACTGTGAGGCTAACGGTCAAACAATTCCGGAAGATACAAATAAAGAAGGGGAAGATAAGGTCATTGGTAAACCACGACGAGTTGATTCGATTTCAACATCCAGCGTCTCCTCATTAAATACAGATTTTTCAGTGTCATTTAATTCTCAGTTGTCTATGGATATGACCGACTTTCGAAATGTTTCATTAGATTCGGAAAGCAGTGTTTCTGAAATTGGTACTAGTAAAAAAGACACAGACGGACCTATAACCACAATAGCCAGGTAATAAATTTATATTTTTTAATATTACAAGGAAATAAATTTATCTATAAAACCTTTATCTAATTTCTGAGCTAGCTCGAATGAAAATCTATATACTTTAAATATAGGACTGTTACAAGCTTTTTACTATCTATAGATTTCTAGTACATCTCTGTACCTTAAACATTTACTCGTAGATTAAGAGTTTTTTTCACTACGAATAGACTATGAGTAATGTCCGAATATACTTTTAAGAAATATCATTAATGTTATATTATTATTGTTATTGCTATTATTTATCCTCCATGTTACATGTGCTTCGTAATTTTATCTATTCTTTTTACTAAACTGGGATATCAGATCTAAAAACATTAAATATATACACACGCATATATATTTGTATATATTGCTTGTTGAACCCTCTACAATATGTTTTACACTGATAATCTTAATAAAGGTATTAAATTCCATTAAACGTAGTAGTAGGTAGGATCAAAGTTGTTTCAAGTAAGTAATTAAAACATTTTTTAACAAAAGAATTAACACAAGACTAGCTCAAAAATTCCCTTGAGAAAAATGTTGGCTGTAGCTATGCCACGCCCCATTAAAACAAACTCGTTTTGTACTCTACCGGTTTACATCAATTTTTTCTATTTTTATAAAGAACTTTCTTCCGTAAAAAATCCGATGTCACGGAAAAAAATTCAGAAGAAACTTCGTCTACTCCTGATATAGTACAGTCTGAAGAGGAAAATCGTATTGGGGAGTTGAAAGTAGCGAAAGATAGTGCGAACCAAAACAATAATGTAAAGAGAAAAAGTGGAGACGTTGAAGTACCAAGTACAACTGCTTTGATTTTAGAACAGAGACCAATGTTAATATTCTTTTATAATAATATCGATTCAATTGCATTATATTTAATATGCGTTTAATTGTATTTTGATCAGTAATCTTCCGTCCAAACCTGAAGAGGAAAGGGAAAAACATAAAAAGCAATATGAAGACATGATAGCTGCTGCTAAGAAGAAAGAGCAAAAAGAGTTAAAATTAAAGAAGAAGCAGTACGCTCAGCAAATAAAGCACGAAGAAGAACTACATCAGGCATTGAAAGTCTGGCACAGCGAAATCCTACCTCATTGGCATTCTATGTTAGTTAAGAACAATTAAATTATCTTTAGAAAAACCTTTCGTCGGTGGCTACTTTATTTAATTTCAACAAGTTAATGAATTGAATTTTCATATCTGTCGGTGCAACTCCGCTTGGCACCATATCTTTCTTTTCTGTCTGATAATATAGTTTAATCCGTTAGTTGCCCCCGAAAATGGTCGATTTTCGATTGATTTTTTTTCTCTTTTTATCGCCTTTATTCCTCAAGTATTTTCTTGATAGTCTGTCCTCGAACAAGAGTCTTATAAGATAAACTGTATAAATTGAAACCTAAAGAATAGCAGGATACCCTTGTCTAGGAAAATTGTTCTTTTAAAACATTTTTGCACTGTTAATTTCTTTTTATAGGAGAGATACAAAAAAATCTCGAGATTTGTGGTGGAAGGGAGTTCCACCGGCTGTAAGAGGAAAAATTTGGCAATTAGCAATTGGTAACGACTTGAATATTACTCCTGAGTTATTTGAAATATGTCGAAATAGAGCCAGAGACCTTTTAAAAGCATTAAATCTTCAAACAGAATTTCGTTGCGATTGTGGAAATGGTTAGTAAATAATCTAATCTATATATACATGTACTTATATATAATACAATATACATATAAATATATACAGTATATATAAATAGCACATGATTAGTATTAATGGATTGCCGTGAAAACTAATGCTTCTTTTTCATTCTATAATTTTATCGTAGATGAACTCGCTGCCTGCAAAGAACAATCTTTAGAATTGATTAAATTGGATGTATCCAGAACTTTCCCTCAACTATGCATATTTCAAAAGGTAAGAATATTATTTTGTAAACGCTTCTAAATCCATTTTCTGAACATAGGGAGGCCCCTACGCGGAACATTTACATAGCCTTTTAGCCGCCTACGCCTGCTACAGACCGGATGTAGGATACGTAAGTATTTAAAGAATGATAACTAAAACTTAGATTATTTCTACATGTCACATGCTACTGATTCGCTCCAGATAGTCGCTATCTGGCTTATTATAGAACATTAACTATTTCTTATAATAACATTGATTTCTTTTTATGGGCAATTTCTTTAAAGTTCAACTTTCTAGTTATTTTTACAATAGTTTATTTATCTAATTAGTGTTCTCATATATTAAAGAATAACAATTTAAACAAATCTTTAATTACATAAATATCATATTGTACTATAGTGGTAGGATTCAGCTGTATTATTGAGAAATATATTGAATATTTTATATCTCAAATTAGTGATTATTATGACGATACTATAGTAAACTGAATTTTTTAGGTTTACTAATTCGCCGAAGACGATTAATCAGCAAAACGTTTATAAAAGATTTATGCGGCGTCTTTTAATAATAAATTTATGAAATTTTACATTCAAAGATATATAATGTACTATTTTTACGTTTTAGGTACAAGGAATGTCATTTATAGCCGCTTTCTTGTTGCTCAACATGGAGGTTGAAGATGCTTTTATATCTTTTGCGAATCTGTTGAATCGTCCGTGCCAGGTTGCCTTTTTTCGATTAGATGAGCCTTTGGTAAGTAAAAGATGATTAGTCTTAAAATTAAGCTATTTCATATAGATGAGAAGAAATTATATTTACTTGTGTTTTTTCATTTATAGATGAAATCCTATTTCGACGTTTACAGCATGTTTTTTCGAGAGAATTTACCTAAATTATATAAGCACTTTGAGTTATATAAACTCACACCTGATTTATATTTAATCGATTGGTAAGTTAATGAATAATTAATGTATTGATAACTTAGCATAACTGATATCTAATAATAAATTATATACAAATATATAGAAATATATATTTATCTTTGATTTTATTTTGTTATTTATACAGGATATTTACTTTGTATAGTAAATCATTACCGTTAGATGTTGCTAGTCGCGTTTGGGATGTGTTTTATAGAGATGGTGAAGAGTTTTTGTTTAGGACTGCATTAGGTTTGTTAAATTCTTAAAGTTTTTACGTATTTATTCAATCTAATCGTTATCTATTGACAATGAAAAATTACCGTTTCAAATTTTGATAACTTTTATACCTTCAATTAATTCTTCTTTATTTCTATTAGGTATTATGAAATATAACGAAGATATTTTCTATGGAATGGACTTTATACACGCAGCCCAGTTTCTTACACATCTTCCTGATGACATCGACTGTGAACGCATGTTTAAGTGTATTGAATCGATTCATATGCAGATAGAAAAAAGAAAATTTCCAAGTTTCTTAGCCGCAATTCAACGAAATATCTCATCTGCCAATCAGAATGTACAGCAATCAAATTCGGCTGCCGATTCAGCCAGTATATCTTCGCGCAACTCAAATTACTCACAACGAGAGGGAACCAGTGGTAATGGATCTTGAGTCGTCACAAATAAAAATACTTTTTTCCACACCTGCTCCAGTCGTTGGAAAAGAGAAGATATCTAACTCTACATTTCACTCAGCAATGCAAATTATGTGTTTATTTAAAAAAAAACAAACAAGATAACGCTTCTTTAAATCTAACAAAAAAAAGCGTCTAAAGCATTCCTCCTTGTCTGTGTTTTGAAAAATACTGTATCAAAAAGAGAATATATTCTGCTCAAATCAATTTTAACAAAAAAAAAATTGTACAGGACCAATTTGATAGCAAATTTCTACACTCGTATTGTACAGTACATATATATATATATATATATATATATATATATATATATATATAATATTTAGTATACATATTTAAAAATTGCTTTTAAAAATTCGTATAAAACTGCTAAACTGCAAAAAAATAAAACGCAAAAAATCTGCTCTTGTTTTCACAACTTCGTCATATGAAAAATAGTTGACTGTAAAATCTGTACAATTATACCTGCTTAAATGTTATTTTATTAATATGTTGAGTGCAATGATAATACAAAGTATAAAATGATAAAAAATATAAAAATTCTTATTTTTGAGTGGATTTACTAGTTTGTTTACTTTAATTTAGATATAAACAAAGGATCATACTATCTGATAGTATGATGAATTATACACTTTTTGTTTTGTCATCCTTTCTTAAAACTTTTTTTATGATAAGTCTGTTCATTTTTTATTATAATTGTTATGCTATGAAACACTGCTTTCCTAAAGCAAGTAGCTAAATTACTGTAAGTACTGAAAACTCAAGTATTTAAGTGTTTAATTAGCTCATTCGTTTTGTGACGATTTCATATCCCAGGCACGTGCAGTTACACACAACAATTCGTGTGAGTCACGTGAATAGAGCGTGAGCTCCCTCTGATTGGCTATGCGAAAAGTTGGCCTCTGCTTCCTACGAGATGGCTCCTCCCTGAACTACACCTACAATGACTGGATTCCTATTCGGAGTAAAAATATGAGACTTAAGAGCCAAGTCGGAATACTGTTGTTAATATTCCAAGTTGGAATTTTCTATGCTATTTTGATTAGGAACTGCAACCATACTAGTCTTAGTTTGTGTACATCGGCTTTTCTGCGACTTTTAATAATTTTTGGCTGTTTACGTTGTAATATGAGATAATTTCTTCTGTCTAATTGATGCTAGATCTTAGCCGTAATTAAAGGTATTGAAAAATTTGCCTAAAACTTTTCGATTGCACAATTACAGTACAAAAACGCTATAAAACGTGCGAATGAAGTCAGCTGATTGGTAATCAATGCTACTTTATTACATCATTTCGTTTTTTTTACAGAGAAAAATGGAAATACGTGACAAAAATGAAAGAGAGGCTGTTGAAAGTTTGCTATCTCTCTCTGATCCTGGTTCGCTAACGCCTCCGCACTCGGATGATGGATCAGAGGCCATGTATCCAAAATCAAATATGATGAACGTAAGTTTTAAAAATAGTTGGTCAATGACCGTAAAATATGGACACGTAGTAAAATTATATTAACTTTCTTTTAGTTGGCTGCCAATGTCACATGGAAGCCACCAAGTCCACCACCCGATATTCATCCTCTTATACCGAAAAAACGATACAGAAATATAAATTTGGATGAATTCGCTGCCAATGATAGTAGTCATTCCGCAATCTCCCCTTCACCTTCCGTTTCCAGTACCCCAATAATTACAGTGCTCGTTAAAAAATCAAGTGAAAATCTGCTTCGAAATTTTCGGCCTATTGCTCCAGCTCCTCCAGGAGGATCACAAGATGATAGGAAAATAGATACTCATCCCTCCATAAAGAAACGCTCTTTCTTATGTACATACAAAGATTGTAAAAGATCTTACAGTAAAAGTTCACATTTAAAAGCTCATTTTCGAGTTCACACAGGTGTGTAGAGTTTACTAAAAATGTATATATTTATATAAATTATTAATCTCAATTTGTATTATATTTTTTCTTAATGTATTCCAAATAACTAGGTGAGAAACCCTATAGCTGTCCATACGAAAAATGCGACAAAAAATTCTCAAGATCAGATGAGCTCTCCAGACACAAGAGAATGCATACGGGAGAAAGAAAATTTGAGTGTAGAATATGCGGGAAGCGCTTTATGAGATCAGACCACCGCAGTAAACATTTAAAAACTCATTCAGATTGATTTTTTGGTGTTTCTTTTCTAGTTTTGTTAAGAAAATAATCCAGATACTTTATTTTACTTTTATTCTATTTGAAATTTAATGTATGTTACGTCTATGCTAGATTGTGTGACGTAATAAAATTATCAGTGATATATTCTATATATACTGTATACTATGTATATAACTTGAATATATCATACAATTAATTCTCTTATCAACCGAGTATCTAATGTATTTAAGCCAACTGTGAAAATTTCCATTAAAACTGGAAAGAGAATTCATCAAGTGCAATTATCAATGAGACTCTAGCTTTTTATGGATTTACAAAGACATATGTTCAGCTTGCAACAAACGAATTCAACGGATTAGATCTATGAAAGAAAAACTATTAAAAGTATTCTTAATTCAAATACTATCGACTTATAATAAGTAATAATATACTAATATTTTAAAACATTAAATAAATTCACTTAACTATGATACTAAATAAATTCTGTATGAACAATTAAAAATCAAGTATAATATAGAGTTTTCATCTTATCACAACAGAAACCTTTCTAATGTTCCTTAAAGATAAGATCTACTACATGTAAAGAAGAAGTTTTGTCCGAGAATAAACTCTAAAATAGTGTTAAGCATCTTTAAATTCTATTAGGAAATTGTATATTGCATTCTTAAAAAAAAAGAGAAATTTCATTATAGGTTCCTTTAGTTGTTGTTGTTTTTTTGTTTAATCTATGTTCTTTTGTGTCATAGAATACTTTAGTTTTTTCCAGTTTATTTAAATAGTTGTCAATGTTGTCAATTAGACACAAATAAATACATTTTGATCGGAATATATACACTTAAATTTTATATTAGACCTTATATGTCCTTAGAACTAAAATATATCAAGTTCTAATCCCTATTCAAAAGAGTTTTTAACAGAAAATATCAATTTTTATTAATAATAGTTATTCATTATGTTGGTTTTGATGCTTATTTTCTTTTTAATTGCGAATATGTTTTTATATTTGAAACTTCTTGGATTGTTTCATAAATTTCACTTCCAGTTCGAGTAAATAGGAAAATAGAAAACAGATGGCGTTCGTATTACTGTAAAAAAAATATATTTCTTTAGGCATAATACACATTCATTACACTTTTAAATATTGTCAATAAAACATAATAAGAATAGGCTTAATCTAATGATTATTCATATCATATTACAATGCTAACACTAGTAGAAATATGTAAAAGATCTCCAAGGAGGAAGTAAATTTTATGAAAATTAAAGTAATTTTTTTTATGTATGATAAGCTTTTCCTAGTTTGAAATGAATCAATTCAGTTATTTATAGATATAAAGAGGGGTATGATTTTGAAAAAAGTATGGAATCAACAGGGGGAGGGAGATTTTTACTCATTCATCAAATGAGGAAGTTTAAAATAGTTACGACTACCTCTTTGTTACACATTTCACAGTGGTACGTATTTTTCTTTCAATATATTATCACCTACATGCGAAAACTCATATTTTGCAATATAGCAAAGTTTTAGTCTATGATGGCTTCCTTTTTTTTTGCAATACTGGCACATTTGGTAAAAGTCTATTTATATCTACATATTGTATAGCATATCCTGTAAATGTATTAAAATCTCTAAGATTTGTATTAGTGTACAATTTACTATTCTTAGAATAGAACTACACAAGTAGTTGTGTCGTTGCTTTTTGACTCTAAGATAATACCATTAAATGGGTATTTCTCTTAATTTAAAGTATTAGTCTGTACTTGTTTTTACTTTACTCTAATCTCTTTGATTATATAATTATCCACAGTCTCTTTGAAAATTTATTTATGTAATTTACGCATCTTAGGTGCAAACAACACTCTGTCTATCTTATCATTTACGGTTTAACATTATAAAAATGGACATTTGCAAGGCATTGACTAGGCGCCATTTTGATTTGTACTAAAGCTTTAATTCTTTTGTACATTGTCTGATAAAGTCACGTGTGACAACAAAGTCAGAAGGGAGAACTCTTAGATCTTCCTCCACTTTAGTGAATTTATTTTTATTTTGAGTTACTTAAAGACGAACCAGAATTTGGTATGAAACCTGGACTAGCGGAAGGAACCTTGATTGCTATATTTGCCCTGTCATCATGGATAAACGTCAACAGTTTATGGGTAGAAGTACCAATTTTCATTCAAAATTTACCAGAAGCATGGTCCCTACCATCTTATTTGTCAATAATCATTCAAGCATCTAACATCTTCCCATTTGTTTATGTTCTGTATGCAAAGCGTACATCCAAGAGCGGTCAGATTCCACGTTCAAGATTAATTTTTTTAGTTCTCTTCGTTACTCTATTGTCATGCTTGTCACTCATTTGGACATGGCAAAAGACAGTTGCAAACAAAAGTATAGCTCTCTTTGTTATCAGTTTCTTTATGTCTGGTGCTAGTTGCATTTCTCAAGTATTATATCTCCCATTTATGGCAAATTTTGATGCAAATTTTATGCCTGCATTTTACATTGGTGAAGGACTCAGCGGTCTCCTTCCCAGTTTATTATCGCTTGTTCAAGGGGTTGGGGAAAAATCTGGATGTGTCAACTTTACAACACCCGATAACAAAACAGGTATTAAACCCGTCTATGATCGTCCAAAGTTTTCTGTAGAAGTATTTTTGGGAGTTGAAACGAGTCTAATTGGAATTTCTTTATTCTCATTTGTTCTACTATCTTATAGACTTTCAAAGCGAAAAGGGCATTTACAGAACGATTTGAGTTCTTCCGAACAAAGTCTTTTAGAAAAAGACGTTGAAATAGTTGAAGATAACGAACCAAAGAAGATATATTTCTGTATACTATTTGTAATTGGATTTTTTTCAAATGGTCTCTTAACTGCTACGCAATCCTACTCATCATTACCATATGGAGATACAGTTTATAGTTTGGCGAATCGATTGTCTATTTTAATAAACCCTCTATCTTGTTTTGCCTTATTCTTTTTGAGATTACCATTATCAATTATATACTGTTGTCTGTTAATTGCTGGAGGATGTACAACTTATCAGCTGGTCCTCGCCTTTTACAGTCCTAACCCACCGATAACTGGTATTATTGGCTCGATATTAGTGGTAAGTGATAGGTATAAATGAGTATTGTATTTAACCAAAGTAGCTTATTTTCACAATGTCTTTCTAAAACCGAACGTTAAGGCTTAGATTTCCCGATTTTGCTCTTTAACAATAGACGACGTAAAATCTGCAAGTTCTATATGTGTTTAGGGAATTTCCAGAGAGCTAAATAAGGATATGTAAATATTATACTTATGAACATGTTTTACAATTATCAATATAATCTCTATCTCAATCCATAACTTTATATCTTTCCCGTCGTTAAACCATGCTATCTTGCTCAAAGATATTTATATATATATATTAAATTAATTGATATAAATAATTTCAAAATTTACATATCCCGTATATAAAAAAGATCGCACTTTTCAACCTACAATTCTTTATATTTACTATCAGTAATCGTTTTAGTTGGTCAATGAAGATATTCTTTATTTTTCATTTTATATAAAGTATTATTATATTATTAATATGTAATTTTACCCCTTTAATATTATTTTCTTTATGTATTGTATTCTATATAAAATACTTGGAAAATTTTTAAATTTTTGGTATAAAAAAGCATTTATTTACATTTTTTACTTTCGTTTTGCATAGGTTTCAACAAATGTTGTCCTCGTTGGCCTTTTTTCGATAACAAAAGTGTCTATTGTAACTGTATTAACTAAAGGAGGAGCATATGCATTATTTCTCTCCGGAATTATCTTTCAACTTGGTTCATTTACTGGAGCAACTGTTGGAGTCTTTTTGAATATATTTAAAGTTTTTAAATCGGCACCGCCTTGTCCTTAACTTCTATTTAATTTTACTATTACTACTACCGTTTTAAAACTCGAGTTCTTTTCCTCGAAATTGTTTACACAGAAAGAGAAAATAAACGAAATAACCTCTAAATATGAAATGACAACTTTTCTCCGTTAAATTTACCTTTTATATATCTAAAAATACATTTTCAAATATATTCAGGTGTAATTTATTCAATTTCAAGTGAAATAACCACTTTAATTCAAATACTTGAAAAGAAATATTCATTCAGAGTGGAAAATTATTCAATTCTTAAAAGCATGAATTATTAGTTTTGTTCTTTTAGAATACAGTTTTTTATATGGTGCAGATTCTTATATCGTTGTTTTCTCTTTAAATCAAATATATATCGTATATATATATATATATATATTCATTACATATACTTTCAAAGTAAAACTCTCCCTTACAACATTTACCATCATCTTATACACATTCTACTAAAGTACAAATTATGGTTCCAAAAATTAAGCGATAGTCTATTGAGTATATATTTCTTTTTCAATTTTAATATAAAGAATTTATTCATTACTTTCCTATTTGTTAAGTTTGGCAACTGAAAAATACAAGATATTCTTTTTTATTTCATTTGTTAAGAAAAAACAGCGCCCTCTACTAATCGGAAAGGTAAATAAGTGTATAAACTTGTTTGTGCTTTTCTCTTAGTAAAGTTTCTATTTATATCTTCATACTTAATTTAGTATTATTTCAACATCTCTAAATAGAAATCTTATACCAGATAAATTTATATTCAAAGAATAGTACTTCAACTTTTTTTAGTCTTAATCTAAATCAACATTTTATCGCTCAAGCTATATTTTTACATTTTAAAAATAAAGGACTTTACACAACCATTAAAAGAAGCTGAAACTTTCAAAAGTAATTTCAGTATTTTTTTTTAGATAATCAATCTTAATGGATTGCGAACCAAAACCGTCCAGTTCTAACGAAACATTGACCGAACCAGAGTTAGAGAGTAATAAGACATTAACTTTTAAAATAACTTATATTCAATACTACTTTTAAAAAAATCACTGTTAGATTCGATAGAATCTTTGAAAATAAATGAACAATTAAAAGAACTACTAAAAGAAAAGGGATTTAAGATCAGCGAGATATTAAAGAGTAAACCGTCAAACTTGAAATCAGGTAAGATTGATAAACCGGAATATAGACAAATAAAAGCTTATAAAACTTACTTTTCAAATTTAATCATAATACGTGTCTTATTTATCTTTTGTAGATTTGGGTATAACAGCTAAGGATGCTCTATTAATAATCAATGCTGCCAAAGATGCGGAACCTACCAGTTCGGAAAAATTTTCAGTAGCTAGTCGAAATGCTCTTGATATGATTTATGATGCTCCCAACGCCAGTATACTAACTTTCTCTAAAGCTTTAGATGATTTGCTAGACGGGGGCATTTCAACTAATTGTTTAACTGAGATAGTGGGAGAATCTGGATGTGCTAAGACCCAGTTCTGGTAAATCTTCCTTCTTTTTTCTTTATCAGACAATTTTACAATTTATTTTATCTATGATAACCCCATTCGAATATTATTTACAGCTTGCAAATTGCGGCTGCTGCAACAATACCTCAAGAAATGGGGGGTTTAAATGCATCCACAATATATATAGATACACACAATGGAGTATTTATAGATAGAGTAAAGTCAATAACTCTTGGTGTAGTTGAAAAATGCCACAAATCGGCCAGGGAAAATCAACTAGGTGAGTGAAAGACATTTAAAACGTTCATAGCTTGGGAACAAATGATATACGACTAATTATAATTACTTCTTCTTATTTTCTTTTTTAAGATATTTCAAAAGAATTAGAATCTTATACTCTTGAAATGGCTCTATCAAAAATTCTAATTCAAAAGCCAATAAGTCTTCAACAGTTGATGATTTCAATAGGTCGCTTAGAAGAATTTATTAAATTACATTCGCAGGTATTGATAGTAAATCATGTATAAGTAATTAGAGGATTTCTATTACTAATTATCATTGTTCTTCAGGTGCGTGTGATAATTATCGACAGTATTACTTTTCCCATAAAATATGTTGTCCATGATAGTGAAGAAAGACTTAAAATACTTCTTTCTATCCATGCAACTCTAAGGGAACTATCACAAGATTATAATTTAGCGGTAAAATTATTTTATCCTTCACCTAACCTTAAAAAGTGAACATGTGCTTCTTTTTGCAATTTGAAAATGTTAGGTTCTCTGGACAAACCAAATGACTACAGGGCCTAATAGAGATTCTGTAGCTGCGTTAGGCGATAGTTGGGCTCATGCATGTACCCAACGTCTAACTTTTTCCAAATTAAACGACGACTTTCAAGCAAACATATGGAAAAGTTCATCAAATCAAGGAAACAGTATAGTTTTCAAAGTAAAGGCAAGTATATATTTTAAGAGTTTTCTTTGATTAGCTAATTCCCGTTGTTTTCCCTTTTCTTTCGTTTATATTTCTAACCAGTTTAAAGTCTACAAAAAGCATGAAAAAACAATCTTAAGCCTTTTGTTTTTTCCATGCTATTTATACTCTGAACTTGGTTGTTTTGTTAAAAATGCACCGATTGCAAGAAATGCATAACTAATTGTTTTCTTGTATTTCAACAGGAAGAAGGTATAAGAGACGCAGAAGAAACTTAGATTTTTATTATGTATAACAAAAATATCATTTCATATAAATTTAAAAGACACTTATTATGTTGATTTGTATACTTGAGTAAAGGAAATTTACCAAGGAAACAAGACTATACTTTTTATTCAATACTATTCTTAAGATAAAACTATCAATATATTAGTAATAATGAGATATCTGATAATACATTTATTCTAAATATAATATTTTAGTCTAATATTTTATAGAACTTGTTTAGTTCGTATTAAAGCTATCTGTAATCAACCAGTTATCATGAATTTCCCTTAATTAGACAATATCTTTATCCCCTTAATCTCCCTACTTAATTGATATTGAAGAAAATTTTAAGGAATTTAAAATTGGATAAAACAAGAGTACTATAGATAATTTTTGGTTTTTCCATCATTTCATAAACATTCAAATGAAGTACAGTAATAAAAATAGAAAGAATTATATAAATAAATGTAAAATTCTTATCTTGTTGTATAAACACATTCCGTATATATCAAAGTATTTTGCAAGGATAAAGTATATATTATATCTTTAAACTTATGAATATGTATATGATCTAATTATCCTACTTCATATCTAGCGTTAACATCGAATAACACTACACGTCACTTTGTGCTTTTCGCATTGTAAAAAAACATGGTTGATTGGAACATAGTGGCCTTAGATATATAAAACTTCCTTATTGAAATTTTTTGACCTATCGAATTGGCCAAAGTGTTTTTAGCTTGGCTACAGGTCTAATATCATTCAGATCTTCGTTCGATTCCACCGATCAAACTGTACAAAATGTCGTTAGCTCTCTACGATAACTCGACCATGTCGATACGTGAGTAAATTATATATCTTTATTATCATTGTCTTAACAAGATAGTTGAAAATTATTTGAAACTATGTAATTAATATCTTATCATATACACTGGATAAAAGCCTTCAATTAGTATATCAAAGATTTTTTCTAATGCTATAAAATAAAGGCCGCGATATATAGTTACAATGAGATTTATGAAGGCGCTAAAATTTAAATATAATACACTATACTGTATGCCAAAAAAAAAACCTATGCTATATAATCAAATAGAGTCACTCTTATTCCTTATTGAAGCTGGAAAGGAAAGTAGGAAACTGTATCCTATTTTTTAGACAAATCTTTTATATTAATATTATATTAGTCTATTCCGAGAACCTTTAGGTTAGCTATAGAAATTTGATTATCAAAAGACTTTAACAAAAGTTTAAATGTGTTTGGTTTTATCATTAACATAACTAGTGTATTATTTATAGATTCCAAGTTTTTTTGAACTATAATATAAGTTTTGCGACCGTATCAGTATCGTTTCCTTCTTCCCTTGTGTTTGCGTTTATTATCTATAAAAGTATTAATTAATCCATCAGTAAGAAACGAACAATTTTCTTTTTTGTATACACCTTAATAAAGATATACTTTATATATATATATATATATATATATATATTATAGCTTCTTTTCTGAATATACCATTATTCAAGAATTTGTAAAAGGTTTAAATATATATAATTCAATATCAAGTTTTCCTACTTTCAAAACGAATAGCTCAAAAAATACAATAAGAATTTGTATGTAAGCGAGGGAAGGGGAGATATCCCAAGTTCAATAGCCTAATAATACCTGTAGTATTTAACATAATATGTCTAAGCTTGTCCTTTACTTTCATCTCTTATATATATATAAATATATTTGTAAACACCATACTTTTTCAAATTCTTACGATATAAAAAAATAATCTTTTAACAAACTAATGAAATTATTTAGTTGTCTTTTAGAAAGTCAGTAGAAACTCTGCACATTTTTATATTTATTAACAAAGTTATATTTTGCCTGACAAAACGTTTTCAACAAGATAAAAGTAGTAAAAAATCTTTCATCAACAATCAGAAAGTTAATTATTTCTCAATTTGAATAGTTATAGTAATACTAATATATAGAGAATTGTCATATGTAAACTTTAATGAAAGAAAGCTCTTAATTTTTATTATTTTTCCTTTATATTGCTTTGCTTAATACGTAAATTGATTTAAGACTGTTGCTGCCATCTATAGTGGTAAATTTTTTATATCTAGACGCTTATAATAAATATGATCAAAGGTTAAGAATAATATAAAAAAACTGTTTCCATCAAGACAAAATAACAATTGGTATTTTGATACAGTAAAGATGTTAATAGATTTCCTTTCATTTGTAAATTCTTGTACTTGAAAATTTTGTTGTATAAACAAACCAGATGGGAGACAAAAGTAAAATGTTCTTTTAAGCCTGAAATTAGATGATATCAATCGATTACGTGATAAGATTAAGTATCATAAAATGTTAGATTTTATAGCATGTTCAATAATCTCTCATTCAAATTCACTGCGTCCAGAGATAAAATATTAAACTGATTGTTCAGTGAAGGAAAGCTCAATGAACGACAAGGAAAAGATTTTAATGAAATACCATTTTAACTAACCATTTGGGAAGAGGAAGAACTTTATTGATTTTTTTATCTTTATCAAATAGATCTATTACAATTGTATATATCTCATTAGTATTGTACATCTAATTCAATATGAAAATCTACTATTCTGAACATATTATCTCCCTATTGCAGTGTCAAACTTTGACGAGAGCGATTATACACCCTTTGGCTCAACGATGAGTAACGTGTCGAATGAATTTATGGACGAACATTTTTATTCAAACTGTAGTAAGTTTCTTATTAGTTTAATTTCATAAATAGTTAGACAAGGAAGGAAATATTTATACTTCCTCTTTTTATTATTTCCTACATTGTGTCATTTTATTTAGCACACTCTTCCGATACTATGACCAATTCAGGTTCGGACGACTCTTATCAAGCTGTTGAGTGGAAGAACGTTATACCAGAGAAATGGGATTGCGAACTCGTCCAGAACTATATTGCTCATATATTGTATCGAAATGAATTTGATAATGACAGGTAGGCCGGCTACCTTTTTCTATTTTCCTTTTCAAACTAAAATTTCTTTTGATGAACTTTCTCCAGGATAGTCATTACACAGGACAAATTTCGTGAATGTAACGGACAAAAGTTAATGCGAATGCAACATCACGATTTCATACAACTTGATCCAGACAGTGGTACAGTAATATACAGAGAATTCCAGGAACTAAATCGAAGTATTCCGAATTACCCACCTGACCCAGATTCGAGTGACTATCCGACTTCACATTATATCCCTACAGCTCCTCATACGATCACGAAAACTGCAAGGAGCAAACGGGAGCCTGCAGCAAAAAAACCAAGAACTCCAAGCACAAGAGGTAGAAAACCAGGTCAACTGTCCAAAGGCAATCATCTTTGGGAGTTTTTGAGGGATTTACTTAATGATGATAGATCTAACCCTCATCTATTAAAATGGGTTAATCGCGAAGAAGGTATCTTTCGAATAGTTAAATCTGAGCAAGTTGCCAAATTCTGGGGGGATAAGAAGAAAAGACCAAAAATGTCGTATGAGAAGATGAGTCGAGCTATTAGGTTTTGTAGAGATGTTGGTTATTTTGGCGAAGTTCCAAAAAATGTAGGACACCCCAAAAAATTAATATTTAAATTTGGCAATAAGGCCCACGGCTGGGATAAGAAAGATCCTAATGCTAACCTTGATTTTCTGAAGAATATTTCATACTAATTTCACAAAACGCGAATTGAAACTTAGCCAACTATGTAAATTATCCTTCATATACTTTTTAAAATATTGAACTTGTTTATGTTCCATAATTTTCCTAAATTCTCACAAATCAATCTTGAATTGTTATATTGAACTACAATTTTGTTAAACTCATTTATTTCAACGCAATTCTTATCGCTATAAAATACATTTACATTCATGTTTTTGTCGAGCTGAAGCCAAATTTCTTCTGAAGGTTTTTTACGACGTTGTACATCCTGAGTTAGAGCAATTGACTTTCAGGCGTTTCCAAAGCTGTAATTTTGGAGGAATATAGGAACATTATAAAATGAAATACTAAATCCAATATCATAACAGTGGAATAACTACGTACAGCATTACAATGTCCGTTACTATACCTTTGAAGAAATCTGGAATACGAATTACAATTGAAAATACATATATATGTACATACATATGAAGTAACCGTTTATTATTCGTTTTTCTTTTTTGTGTTATAAAATAATAATATAAAATAAATCAATTTTAACGATTATTTAATTACGATCCTCTTTGACTTTCTACTGTCGCTTCGTTCTTAATACTAAGTATAAGTAACACTAATTGTCGAATTGTAAAAACATTCTAAACAAAGAGAAACCATAATTTCTATCTAATATGGTAAATTATTATGAATGTTCAAATTTTCAAATCAAAATATTAGTGGGCTATAAAGACGTTAACCGATCTTTAAACGCCAAGCAAGTTACAGCTTTTTGATGTCCATCGTACTCTCTTCTGACTTTGCCTGTTTCTAAATCCCATACCCTTGCAAGATTATCGGAGGACGAAGTCATCAAGTGTCTCGAATCGCTGCTAAAGGCACAATCCCAAACCCATCTCTGGTTGGGAACAGCACAAAGGGTAGTATACAGAGAAGAATCTGATGTTTTCCAAATTTTTGCAGAGCCATCGGCAGAGGTGGTGGCTAAATATTTTCCATCTGGACTATATTTGCATTTTAAAGCATACTTCCTATGAGCCTGTATTTTTTTTTCTACAGCTATTGTCTGAGTTTCTTCGTTAATTGAATTTTTTAAAGGCCTGGAACGTGTTCAAAATTTTTGCATGAACCAAATTTTTAACTCAATGAAAGCATTATTTTAAAATGAGATTAAATGAAATATTTTAAAGAAATAACAAATATTTTCTGAAACACGTTCCAGATATATAGATCACCCCTATTGGTAACAGCAGATAAGTTTGAACCCGTTACGTCAATGGAAAGATCTTGAATAGAACACTCCTCTACATTTCCAATTTCTTCATGGTAGTTTGCAGTTAAATCCCAACAATATACTTTACCTTGTTGGCTGCCGATGTACAGAACAGCTTGGTTCGGATGCAAAACAGCTGCGTTTATATAGTTATCGATTCTGAAACATTTTGCACATTGCAGGCCTCGAGACCTTGATCTAAAATCCCATACGCGAATAAAACCATCTTCTCCCGCAGAATACATCCACCGACTGTCTTGTTCAAAACCGACTGATAAAACATTTTTTTGAACACCATTGCAACATATTAGGGGATTTGAATTCCCTGATTTTGCATCATAAACGCGTATGTTCTGGTAGCAACCAGCGGCCAACAGTTTACCATCGTTTGTTAACTCCAAACAATTAATCTGTGTATCACTTTGGCACTGTATTGTTCGTTCACAATAGCCTCGCTGGGCTTGCCAAAACTTGATAGTATGATCATATCCTGAAGTAACAAAGATTACTGTCTCATCCCCTGAATCAAGAGTTTCGTTCATATTTTATAAATGTCAAAGTGCAGTTGATTAAGAAAAATTATATTGCAAAAGACCATAGATGTTTTTCATTCCTAAAGTATAACAGTCGTCTAATTTACTCTCAAAGAAGTTTCATACTTAAAATTATCCGAACAAAATTTGAACCGGAAACGGAAATAACAATCAATTTTGGACATTTTTACTGAAAAAAGTAGTCGAAAAATTCTAAAATTTCCCTTAGGATTTTATAGCTATTTTTAATTAATAAAAAAGTTTTAGTAAATTATAAAAATTTTATGACTAAATAAACTGGTAGAACAACGGAACTAGTTTTGCGTTAACGACTTAACGTGCTCACTGAAGAAGCTGACATTTGTAATTAAATTTCTACAATTTAAGGGATGGCTACAAATTCGGATGTGAATTCTGAATTGGACAACTTTCTTAATAAGGTTGATGAATTAGGTGAGCATATCGAAGCTTCTTTTGAAGCTCAAGTTTATTGAGTCTTTCGGTGCCGCTTTCGTGAAGATGCTAGAGTTCTATAACACATGCACATTATTTTTTAGATGATCTTATGCATGGAATTCGATCCTCAAAATTAGACGATGAAGACGAGTTGAATAAACTTGAATTGAATACCATACAACAACTCACGAAATTTAAATCTGAAAAGGATAAAACAAGGGACAACAAATCTGAAATAAATAAAACAATAATAAACCAAAAGGCTTTTACGGATAATCCAGCTGATATTCGAGACGGTTTTTAATACATTTGATAAATAAATCACGATGGCTGATCAATCTTTTTCATATAGAATTCAAAGCTGCTGTAGAAAAAGATGCTTTGGAGCGTTCTGAGAGAAGAAAAAAGCATATTCAAGAAGCAAAATTTTATAAAGAAAAAGGAAATACAGAATTTAAAAATGAAAATTACGAAAAAGCAGTGGAGTACTACACAAAGGTAAATATGATCTCATAACTAACTTTCTTAAATTGATCTCATTAATCTTTATTGTAAGATAACTTTTTATACTACTTTCAATTTTTATTAGCTATAATTTCATTTATTTAGGTAAATACGGCTCGTTTAATTAAGTTTTATCGGCGATCGCAAAGGAATGTAGGTGAAATGCTTATATTTTTTTAAACGAAAAAAAGAACACAACGAAAAATAAGTTAATATTACGTTCAATATCTTGAAAGGATGTAATTTTCCTGATATCAACTAAATAATAAAATATTATTTAATAACTATTATATTCAGAATAAGACAAACAGTTTAATTTAATATAAGATAAAAAAAAATCATCAGGAGAATCTATGTTTAATTTGCTATGGCAACCCGTCTGGGATTTTCTTCCAAGATTGTTGAATAACTTATCTAATACAAAATAGGCCTTATTTATATATAAGAAAAAAAACATTTTCCATAAAACTGTATACAATAAAAAGAGATGCAAGAAACGCTAAATACATATCTAGTTAAATGAACACAACGTCTACTTTTTGCAGTTAAACCACAGCTAATTCTCTTTAATTTCATACCTGCAGGGTATTGACTTGGTTAAGGATATGATAGTACTCTATACAAATAGAGCGCAAGCCTATATTAAACTGTCAGAATATGAGAAGGCTTTAAAAGACTGTGACTTGGCTTTAAGATTGGATGATAAATATTTGAAAGCATACTTACATAAAGGAAAAGCGTATTCAGCTCTAGGAAAGTTTGATGAAGCATTAAATAGCTATAAAACTGCTATATCTTGTGACCCAAAAAAGCAGAATGTTGTTAGCCTAATTCAAGGTCCATAAAGTTTCCAATCAAATTATAAAAAAAAACGCATCGACTTGGAAATAATTTTATTTCATTACGTTTTTAGGATACATATCTGAAGTTCAGCTGAAGAAAAACCAAGCAAATTCGTCAGGAGATAGGAAAGAAATTCAACTAAAAACTGAATGTGTAGTTGACGTGAGAATTCTCTAGCAAAATAAAATACACGTTACGTACAGTAATGTGGTTTTCTTCAGGTTTTAGATACATTATTTATTAATGGAACTGAAGCTGTCCATGTACATGGAGGATTGAGAATACTACAGAATATACTTTACATACGTGAGTCTTTGTAGTTGTCTGCTGGTTTAATAAATATTCTAAAATATCTATTTTTCTCATTTAGCTGATGCTCCAATTATTTTTAAATCTAACGGTGGACTAAGATTGAGTAGTGAACATGATCTAATTGTTAGATGTCTTGAATCCGAGCCAACGAAATTAACCAAAGATGAACTTCAAGTTTGCAGTTCAGTATACGCTTGTTACGCTGCTGCTTGCATCAACGATGGTTAGCCAATAAATAACTATTTTCAACGCTACTAACTGTAAATACTTTTTCTGTCTAGATGAGCATAAACGGGTAATTTTTCTTGAAAATGAAAAATTAGCAGCTCAAACTCAAAAATTCTTAGACGCTCTTTTGGAAAAGGCCAAAACTTTGCATGTTGATATACTTGCTTTTATACGAGTAGTTACGTGCATTCCGATTGGAGTAGATGCTTTTGCCACAAAATTCGATGCTTGCAGGTTTGTTTTTTAGTAAAATTCTGCAATAAACCATTTCTCAAAATACATGAATCATAAGAAAGCTAATTAACCTTTTGAAAATATTTTTAGATTTGTTAAAAGTTGCGTAGATCTTCAATCATTTTATGAAAAAAAACTTCCAAAATTGGGAAACGATATTGTTGCTATTTTTTTTGAATTATTTAAATGTAGAAAGTAAGTAATTTGTGAAAATGTTCTTTTTACTATATCGATTCTAAAACAACTATAGATTTCGTGATAAAATGGTTTCTCAAATTAATGGCATATCAGATATATTTGCGGATTTCATGGTAAATATATACTTTTCTTATATAAATTTACATTAATATATAAATGCAACTATAGAGAAAAAATTCAAAGATCAACAATATTCGTTTGTTATCAACATTTTTAACTGGTTTAACAAGTCTTGCTAGGGATCAAAGGCTAAGAAAATTATTATCTGAAAGAACATTATTTTGGACAAGCATATTTGATGTATTGGTAAATATTTTCTTTGTTTTATTTCCAAGTAGAAGAAACTGTGCTGTTATCGTTTTTTTCCAGGAAAGAGTAATTAATCCTCTGGCTTCATCCGATAAACCTGAATTTTCAGTACAACGAGATTGTATGTTGCTTTTGAACTGTTTATGTTATGAAAATAGCGAAATAATGAAATCAAAAAGTATTGGCAAAATTTGCTCAGCAATTTACCCTCTATTGAAAGCAGAGGAGCATCAACTGCAGCAGACAACTCTTCATACGTATTCAACCATTTTAACAGGTTGCAAAGACATAGCAATAGAAATGATAAAATGGGGTTTCGTCGAGTATTTAATAGAATTAATGACGGTAAGATAAAAGAAAATCACTTAAAAATTTTAGCTGAGATACGTTTTTTTAGGATGGCGAAAAATTCAATGGTAATTGCCTCACAAGATGTCTTTTGGCTTGTACGCGAGCGGACCAATCAACTTGTAAGATGCTCACTTCTTGGTTGCCTGGTTTGTACAATTTTTGCTTCAATTTAAAAATTATTCAACTTTTTTCTTATCAAATTTTTATTATAGCTTTAAAGTCTCTTATAAATCTCCTTGACTTGGAGGATGAGAAAGCCGCCGGAAACGCAGCGCTAGTACTCACAGACCTCTTAAATCATGATAAGAATATATGTAACACTTTAAAAGCAACCGATATTATACGCAGACTATTAATAATGTGCAAGGATGCAAATTGTCAAAAAGTTCGAGTTAACTGCGCCATATTTCTTAGTAAAATAGTAACAACAGATGAAGAGTAAGTTATAAAATAAGTTTTTAGAAATATTATAATAGTATTATATTAATAATTATCTTTCCTTCAGGTTAAAGATAAAGCTAAGAGAATTGGACGGTATAGGAATTTTACATAATATGTTAAAGTCTGTCCGACTGGAGTAATTTCACTGAAGATGAGAGACATCTAGATAAAAAAAAAATTTAATGCTTTATACTACTTGATCAAATTTCTAAACATAAGATCTGTGATAAAAAACATGTTTAGAATCAAGTATGTTGTTCAGTGTCGTTTACAACGAAAGTCGCGTCAGTAAAAACACCCAAAATTAATTGTTTGTATTTTTTAAAAGAAATTCGATATGTTTGTTGTTTGTTGCTTACTGCTATAAGCGAGGAGATCTGTCAGTCCTACTCTCTTACTTTAAACAATTGGGGAGCAAAAAAAAAAAAATATGCAAAATTTTGCCAATTTTCTAATAAAATGATAAATTCACACTTTCCGTCTAGTTTTGGCAATGTTAATTATGGTTTTTAATCATTAAGAGAGTCAATATGAGTCTTATTTAAGAAATGCAATAAAACTTTCAAATCAAACTAAATCAATAAAATAGCTTTTAATCTTCACAGTTATTACGGTGTTTAAAGCTTCAAACTCTTAAGCTATTGTCTATTACGTGCTAAAACATGAAGTTTTAGAGATTAAATTAATGTCTTTGTTTAATTGTAGGAAATCCTTCTACCGATATATTGTATTAAAACATCATTTGTAGATTGACAATATGGGACAGAGTCAATAGATAACGTTTTATAAAGTGCGATGATTCAGTTATAAAATTTCTAAAATTTTAGCGCCAAAATAGTTCTAAATAATAAAGATGGAGCCACTGTCGCAGAGCATCCACATTTTGGCATATTCCTTTATATTCGCCAAAATTTGAAAAAGATGGAACTTGATTCGCCGCCACCTTCCGATAATCACAATAAATCGGTATCCGAAAGGATAGATAGTATTAGGGCATTAAGAAGAAAGGTGGATGTGCTAAATAGCAGCATACAAGATAAGATTGGCGATTTGTCAATTGTCAACACTGAAGCTGAACAATTTGAGAATCATGCGCTAAGTTCATACGATTACATAAGAGAGACTAACGTAGACGCCGACCAGGTGTTCGATTGTAAAGAATTTGGGACAAAATTTAGGTCGCACGTTAGAAGTATTTATGGCGAGAATGGACTTTTGGAAAATGGCGGAATTTCAGAAATGGGTTGGAAAAAAATTGGGGAATCTATTGGTAAATATTATAAACTATTTTCTGGTAAAAAGTCGTTTGCTGGCTGTCTGGGGGATATCCCACCGGAAAAGAAAAGGCAGAGTCGGTCGCAGATCAGACGAAAAGATAAGGAGTTGATGATGCTGTCTCAACCAGGGGAAAAGGCTGTGGGATCTGAAAAGAAAGAGGAGACTAGCGCACTAGTTTTGCATGTTCTAAAATGTCTTCGTCATAATTATAGAACAAAGAAAAGAGCAATAGGCTTTTACGAATTTGTCGTTGATCCCTTATCATTTGGTCGTACGTTGGAGAACATTTTTTATTTATCTTTTCTAATTAGGGACAGACATGTAAGGATGTTCCTTAATGCAGACCAGCTCCCTGTAATAAAACCCGTGTCGGAAGAAGAAAGATCAAAATTTGCAGAAGTAGCCGAAATCGATTCGCTTTCAACTCTCTTTACCGTGACTCATGAAGACTGGACAAAGATAGTGGAAAAATTGGGTATGGAACATAGAAGCTTAATATCCCGCCCAAAATGCTAATGAGGATTTCTCTCAATTACCCGTTAGACTCTGTATTATTTTTGTACAGATTTCTTTTTATATGGTGTATTTGTTTATATTACTGTTTATCTCTCTTACGTTTGTACTGACTTTATCAACGAAAGACAAGTAGTAAAAAGATTCTATACTAAGCGGAAGTGAAAGTTCCAAAAAAACGTAGGAGAGGTCGGTAAACGCTTACCGAATTTCCCCCGGGAGTACGTGTTTTTTTAGACGATCCAGTTCTGTTAAAAAAAATATATAAAAAAAAGCCTGGACGCCATCTGCTGGTGGTTAAAATTCTGATTATAGTTAGTAAATTGGCGGCTCCTTTCACCATATCTAAGAAAATAAATCAATTAGGAGAAAAAACATATTTTTTCTTCAGTTAGTACAAAAAAGGAAGAGTTATGTAACAAATTTAAGAATGAAGGCTCCCATTTGTCTCAATAAAAAGGGAAAGTTTACTGATAAATCTCCGTGTTCAAAAATCTGTCTCTTCCTTTTCCCGAAAGGAAAATAATAAGATTTTAAATAGTATAGGCTTACAAGTGCAAGCGTGATCACTGGTGTTTCTATAGGTAAAAGCTAAACTTTCCCTGAGTTGAAGTTCTGGTCGAATTTTCCTCTACTTTGTTAAAACACTTTCCACGAAAGGACATAACGCGAAGATACTTTCCCGACATCTCTTTATACAAAAGCGGTTTAACCTTTCATACGGTTCGGCAGCATCTACATCTTTCTGCCCAATAGGTGGTTGAATTCGGAGAGTTGGGTTTAACTTTCGCAGAGAATTCGCATTGGGATAGTGCGGTCTGGTATAGACCCAGTAACCCTTCTTATTGGCTGCAAGCGGTCATCTCGCCATGGCGACGTTGCGTTAGCATGACAACCGAGTAGGGTCAGGTCAGGTTAATTACGTAACAGCCCGATGGTCGGAGAATGTTATGTAATTTCTCTCTCACCTCCGCCAGTCGCTGCATTTTGCGATTTGCATTCGATCGGGACACTTTACAACGCTTATAGACGGTGTACTTTTTTTTATAACTACCTCAGTTTTTGTGATTAGACGGGAGAAGTTCACTTCAGTGTAAAGAGACAATAAACATAAAAATGCATCACTCCCCGGAAAAGTCTTTCGATCAGACGAGATTTTCTTCGTCGTCTAATACTTCTACGCCATCACCAGGGAATCCATCTTCCGAAGAAGCATCAAATTCTTTCTTTAGTCCTGGAGCAAATTCTAAAATTGGTATGACTAGTCCGTCTTCATCTAATGGAAAAATGAAGAAAAGTAAGTAAATTGAATAGATCTAAAAGGAATAAATTATTAGTATAATTATTACTTTATACTATAAGAATTAAAGTCTCTTCAAGGGGTGCATTTAAAGGCCTTGTTATCACCCAAAACCATAAAAAAAGAACTAGCTAGCCATAATAAAAAAGAAATTGATGTTAATTTAAACTTTTTTGTTTTTTTAAAAACAAAAGAGAAAAAGAAATGAGCAGTTTTTTTTCTATTCTATTTACTTAGTTTTTTTTATAATTTTTTTATAAAGTAGAGAATAGAATATATATATATATATATATATGTGTGTGTGTGAATGTATGGATGTATGTATGGATATATATATATGTGTACATGTCTACATGTTCAATCACATGACTACGTTATGTACTTTGACCCGAAATTGACCCATAGATATAACTTAACGTGTATCAACAACATGAATTACTTTGTCTAATGGATAAACTATTAATAGAGATACATAAATTCGAAGCATAGAAACAAAGTACCGTATATAGAATTGTGTACATGTATGTAAACTCATCTTTAGAAATATAAATATATAGGCGTACCACTTTCTTTTAACAAATTGCTAAAGTAAGAATAATAATACACCTTTTTTTGGTGTGTTAGGTGTTAATTATAGGTTTGTAAATGTCTCCAAATAGGCCGATATCAATATCTGACTAATTGAATGAAAATTAGGTTTAAACGGATTAATTTTCGTGGAAGCTTCTCTTTTTACGAATATATATTTAAGGTATTTGTTTTGTCATGTATAATACTTGAAATGTGTAACTTAATCACGTGACTACAAGACGGTCAGTTGGGCCTATTGTTATTTTTCTAAAGAATCCCGCTTGGGTTTCAGATTTATGTAACAATAGTCACGTGACTATTTACACAGTCTGACGACCCGATATTGACCTATTGAGGTAGATTTTACAAATCACCTTTAAATTGCGAATTGATTCTTTCCTTTTTAGAAAAAATAGTTTCCGTTGAAAAAAAGTAAAAGTAGAAATTCGAAAATTGTATTTATTTTCAGTGCTTGATAATGTATTTATACTAGAAAGTTTGGTTATATTATTTATGTAACATGTAAATGCGCTTGAAACGCATGCGCATTGCGTGACGTTGGCATGGCACGCGCAGTCGGACAAGTGCGGTCATTTATTACGCAATCTGTTCTTATGCAATCCCCCTATTGTATACGCGTTTCACTGCTAGATGCTTTGTTCCAAGGATGAAGGTTTGTTTATGCCTCCGAGTCTTAAATATATGTAAAACCATTTAATAAGTGATTTTTTATTGTATAGTTGAGAAAGTTGTCCGCGCAATGAGTACTGTATTCTTAATTTGTCTCCCCTTTCTTTAAATAACCTACTATTGCTAACATAGTAACAAAATCTGTGAGTAAGGAGAATTTTTAGGGCGTAATTGATGACGCAGCCTGGGAAAATGCAAGTTCATGCAAAACTCCACAACATTAGTGGGAACAGGTTACGTAACTGACTGAGTGAGTAAGCGGCAATTGCATAAAATTGAGGTCATACGAAGGACACGCATAATCGCCTTTAGCCCCGAACATTTTCCATGCGACGCATATGTTAATGATTAACCTTAATTAGTCTGTCATAAAATATACATTTCAACGATAGTCGAATGAAACAAAAATGAGCATCGCAAACTGCAGATGTTCCAACATCCAGCTGAGAGTTTTTGACCGTTTGTGCACCTGGCATAGTAAAGACAGTTATAATTAGGCTTGCGTAATCGTCCAGGTGTGTCCGCAATACGTACTTAGATGGCACGTTTAAAAAAAATCCCTTTTGCTATTTTTGTAACACAAAGATAAATCACCGCTCCGACTTTCCTTTCTTTACCAAGCTTTTTTATAAAGTTTACTTATAACTTTCTCTGAGTGCCTTTTTCTTTTTACCTCTAACAATAGAGTTTAATTTAACGGAATAATGTAAGAATTATTCGCTTGTTAAGTAATTCGTCATTAACTCCTGTAAACCATATGGCTAGAAGTGAACACAAAGAAAGAGCAAAAGAAGCAAATCGTTAGCCCTTTCTCTCCTTAATAAAAAAAGGTATTAAAAGTTAAAAGGGAAATATGCAAGCAATTTTTATTAGACCCTTACGTTACGTAAGTATTATGTAATTTATATCGATTAGTGAAATTCCCTTCCATAGGAAAAGAAGTTATGTAATTTTATACGTTAAAAATGAAGTTAAAACACGAATATCCTTCTATTGAGAACTTTGCCGACTTTTCCCTAGTTTTTTCATAAACAAATTAAAATCAATTAAGTAGATTAATAGTCCGAAAAAAAATAAGTTGAGACGTGCGGTTTCGCTGATAAGGCTGACACCCTTTGTTGCTCTTTGAGCATAATTGCCCTACTCGTCTTTCCTTTATTGAATAAAGACTTCTTCCAAGTCAAAACAATTAATAAGATAACAATTAAATATCCGCTTTCGTTGTTATTATCTTATTAATAAAAAAAAATTCAATAAATATCGCTTTGTTTGTTCGAAAGAGAGAGATTTGTGATTAAAAGTTTGTCTTTATCAATAATTCTTTTGTTTTTATGGTTGCTTACTTATTTACAGACGCCCCTTATATTCCAAGTTATATGGACTTGACAAATGGTCCGGAACCGTGTGTTGTTTGTGGAGACGCGGCAACGGGTTATCATTATCGGTGTATGACATGCGAAGGTTGCAAAGGTTTCTTCAGAAGAACAATACAAAAGAATTTACAATATCACTGCAAATGGAACGGTCAATGCTCGATAGATAAAAATACGAGAAATCAGTGCCAGCAATGTAGATTTCAAAAGTGTATTAGGGTTGGAATGGCTACAGACTGTAAGTTATTTAATTATTTCCTTTAATTAAGATGGTTTTTAATTGAAAAAGTTACCATTTCCTGTGTTTTCCATCACACAGTAGTCTTAAACGAGAAACAAAGAGTCGCTAAACGCAAACTGATCGAAGATAATAGGGAAAGAAGGCGGCAAGAACAAGTAAGTTTTTGATGACCGTTTGCTATACAAATAACTATTAGTTTTCTCGTTTCTTAAAATAGACAGTACAAAGCACTCGAGTTAAACAGCAGCACGAAAATTGTATTCACGACTGTTTGACAAATGAAGATAAGATCTTGATTGCCGAAATAATGAAGGCCTATTCACAGACTAATACTTCTCAGAATTATATAATAGTAAGTTAACCAAATAAGATTTAAGGATCTATACCTTATATTTAATGACTCTGAACAATCATTCATGAACTTTTAGCCCGAAAGAGAAATTCTCGGAAGGGAGAGGATGGGCTCAGCCGATCCAAAATTATGGAAACATCTTGCCGAAGTAATGACCCCTTCAATCATTAGAGTAGTTGAATTCGCAAAAAAATTACCCGGTTTTAATCAATTGGATTTGGACGATCAAATCCTGTTGTTAAAGTCTTCCTGTATGGAAATTATGTGCCTAAGGGCGGCATATAAGTATGATGTACGAAATGGATTGTCAATAATGGACGGTGAAAAGGTAAGTTTTATAAGAATTATATATAAATATATTGTTTGATATACATTTTGTTACATTCTAATTTTAATTTGAACTTTTAAACTATTTCAGGATAGCGGTTTTACTCTACTTATTGAACCTATAAGAGAATTTGCAATCGGCCTGTCTAAATTACAGCTGGATGATACAGAAGTGGCACTTTTAGCTGCTGTTTTGCTAATGCAAGCAGGTAAATATTTTTCTTTGTTAAACCCTATTTAAATATTTTATTTGATATTTTAATTAATTTTCTCTTTATCTTGTCAGATCGTTCTGGTTTGAAGAACCAAGAAGAAGTTGAATCAATACAAGATTCCATTTTAGGAGCGTATAAACGTTATATATCAGAAAAAAGACCTCATCAACCAATCCATTGGGCAAAGGTTTTAATGAAGGTATAGCTAATTGGAAGTTACTTAAAAATTTATCTAACTATTCTCTTGTTTTCTATTCTTTAGATTACAGACTTGAGATCCATAACATCAAAACATGCCGAAAAAATTATGAATATCAAATTAGATCAAGCTTTTACAATGCCTCAACAAGTTGCAAATGTTTTCGAAGGTGCTACCAGTGTTGAAGTTACAAGTGACTATCTTCCGTCTTATCCTAGTTGGCCTTTAATGCCGTTACACCACGTTGTTCCAAACATGACTTCCAAAAGCTGATTTGTCTTTCTCAAACTCTGTCTCTCTCTCTTTCTCTCTCTGTCTGTGTCTCTCCTTTCTATCCCTTTCTATCTATTTCTATCTATTTTTCCATGCATATGTTTGTGACGTTTTTTAAAAAATAATTTTTTAATACGAAAAGGAAGAAACAAGAAATAAAATTTGCACAGAGCTTCGTTTTTGTAACAAAGGAGAAATTTGTCTCTTTCTTTCCAAATTACTGATGTAGTACGCCATCTATCGGATTTTTGACAAAGCAAGCACCATTCGTTTACGGTTAATACAGACAAGCTATAAGGGATTACAGTAGTAGTTTATTCTGCGATAATTTGACGAAAGTAGCTGATTTATGTTTAATAAATTTCATCATTAAAATATAGCTTGAAATGAAAAATAAAGTTTAATTATAGGATAATCGGTTCTCACTCGGTCACTGGGGCATTTTTTATTACATTAACAATCATATGGGATAGAAATGATACTTATTCCGATATAATTGGAAGGTGGAAGAGTCATTAAGGATACTTGAAGCCATATTATAAATATACGCTTATTCGTGAGTCTTTCTTTGTCTAAGGGTAATTAATCGATTATTTATAAGTTAAATACAGACAATTGAACAAAAGAAACAAAAGGGAGTATTTAGTTTATATATACAGAATATAAGAACATATATTTGTAGAATGTTTAAGTAGCAATAGATTATAAATAGCTATATATACCTATAAATTTACTATCTATATTTTATTAAAAAGCTATAATAGAGTAAATTATTAAAAAATGCTAATTATTAATTTGTTCTATATTTATTGGCGGGGGAGTTTCGAAAAGCAGCTACAGACATTATTCATGAATGATATTTAATAAAAAATTATCAATTAAAAAACTTTTACAAACGAAAAAACATAATTTTAATGAAACGAATAGAGAACAAAAAAAAAGTTATAATAATAAAGAAAAAACAAACAAATATCTCTTTTTTTTTTATCATATAAACTTTAAAACTGTACCAGACTAGTTACAAGACTGGAATGTGGCGCAACACAAAAAAGCACATAATATCTTATAACTTTTTTTTTTTCCTTTTAAGATGGTTTGTTAGTTTTTTTTAATTTTTAAATAGACGTTTAGCACCAGCATAAGCCTGAAAAATCATTCAATAAATTAACCTATTAACATAAAGAGTCTTTTTTTGCCGTTTTTTTCCTTTTTGTTATAATATGTATATATAAAAAAGAACAACAATAGAGATCCATAAAGACACAGTCTGTATTTGCTTGATGTCTCTATTTTATAGTTTTTCCTTTTCTTTTATTGTTAGACCTTTGTTTCTGAATATGAAAAGTCGGAGAGTAATGTTTCCGGTTTGGCTGTGGATCCATCGGGAGCCATTCGAACGTGAACGTGTCTTCCTCTCCCCTTACTTGGAACACGGACTAAATCTTCGTCGGTCTCGTAATCCGTATCGTCAACGTTTCTTTTCTTTGTTGTAGCTGTTGGTGGATTAGATACTATATAGATTAACTTGACTGAGAAGATTCGACGACTCTTGAAGAACTTGAAAGAAATGGTGCCAAGTAGATGGGATAGTAACATTGATGCAATGAGAGCGCAAAGTACATGACCGCAAACGACGGCCATCCTTAGAAGACCAGATGCAATTTCCGATATATCATTAGAGACGCTGGAGGCATACTTGTCTTTGAGGAGTCCTAATTCGTAAGAGTATATGTAAAATTGATGTTGATGAATATCATAGAATACTATATAAGCTGTATATAAATATATATATATATATATATATATATAGAGTACAAACCTGAATAAAATTTAGGCCGTATTGGTATAAATTTACAGGGTATAATCTGAATATCTAAGATAGTTTCGTCAACTTGAATATCGCAAGGATCTTCTTCATGCAAGGATTTCTTTCTTATTGCACAAGCTTCTTTTAAATAATTTTGACTTCTTCTACGTTTTTCACCGTTAAAAAAGGAAAGAAAAGTCTGCAAGTGAACTAGTTCGTTACGCGCTTGTTCTTCAAAAACGGGAAGGGTGACGTTGTTAAAATGAACAGCCTGTTGTTTTATGTAATTATTGGTCTCATTTGCTCTCACTCTTAACGAAGCAGTTAGAACTTCGGTATGATCAAAGAATTCAGCAGTAAATAGAGGCCTAGTCGATCGAACCGCAAAGTGGATTAGGGTCAATAGAGCGATAGCTATTAATATTTTTGGCAAAAGAGGATGCTGAATCATTTTGGCAGTCTTCGAACGCCACCTAATTTTTCTGCGTGGTGGTTTCTTCGGAGCCGAGTTCAAAGCTACAGAATGCGCTGGTATATCGATTTGCTTATATCGGTCATCAACATTTTCGTTAGTTTTTTCTGGGAACGTGCTTAGTCTCTCCGTAACTTCGAACCCTTTGCACATTGACTTTAAGTATAATACTGTTCTTGTTAGTCTGTATAGTATTATAAATAGATCCATAACAAAGAAGACTATTTTAAGCGTGCCAAGATGCAACGAATCTTTTAATTCATTTAGGCTGATAGTTTCCTGTGGAAAAACGAATAATTAATAATTCACGATTAATTACGTAATTTCCTCCGTAAATACCTTATCCAAGTAAGATTCCCCTTCGTTTGGAACGACAAACTTATATTCATAGCCGTTAGAGTTCATTCCTTTCATTGACTTTTTCGGTAATTTTTCAGAGAAAAATCTCACAGAGTCCAATTGGTGACGAGGAGTTTTAGACCCTCCAGGACCGGGACATTTATTAAATTTTGGCAATGGTAAACGCTTACGAACTGGTAATGATTTATTGAACATCTGCCAAAATTGAAGTGGCCACAGTTGGGCATTTTGGACTTCTTCTATGTTTAAAAAAGAGGCAAAATCGACCTCTTTTCCCCGGAGGTATTCATTCTTTCGAAATGCCTTTGGCCTCTCGTTTGAATATCTAGATTTATTGAATAAGTCGGCCGCGGTTTTAGTCCAATTACTATGATAAATTTTTTTCAAATATTGCCGATATCTAAAGAAAGTCTTTGATAGATGATTATTTAATTCTTCTTTGTAGAGTTCAGAAAATTCCGTTACATTCTTGCTATATGCGTACATTGCGTAATCGATATGACTCCTCATTAAGTGACTAATTGTAGGATCGTTTGATTTTTTATCAACATCTTTCCTAAGAGAGTCAAATAACTCTTCAACATAGACGGAGCAGGAACTTTGCATTGAGGTAACTAACTTAACTTGTTGTATGAGTTCGTTCTCGCCAAATTCATCGATTTTTAGCACTCTTCTTCTCGTTTCATTACCTCTATTTGTCTGATTGCGGAAGGCTGCTTCCACACCCTTAAAATCACTTGATAGTATATAGCTTAGTACTGTATAAAGTACTGTAAATGTAAAAATGAAAGTGTAGAGCATTTTAAAGACGCCATACGTAACTATAATCAATATTTGTGATTTGCTCAAACCGTTCCAATGACCGCAGCTGGTCGATGAACTGTCTATTGAATGAGTATCTGCTGAAGGGATTCGAGTTGAGGGCCCTTTAGGATTTTTTCGAGTACAATCCAAGTAACAAAACACGCTAACGGATAAGAGAGCCAAAACCCCACAGACACTAGACAAGATAATAAGGGCAACTAAATGTGGCATATCCGGTTCCTTAAGTGTCACTTTTTCCCTCTTTGCTATATATTTTGGATGTTCGATCACCATTCTTGTTAGAAAAATTGAATAGTTCTTGTACGGATCTTCCAGTTGAACATCGTATGTCCTTGACTTTAAATACATAAAATTCGGGACACTAAAAGAAATATTAAAAGTTGGTTTTGGAGCACAACCAACTAATAAATCGATTTTATATAATTCTTCAGGTCCTCCCCCTCGTCTACTATTTGCTCTTTTCTTCCTGTCGTTAACTCTAACTTGCATATAACCAGGACAATCGCTCATGCGGCCAGTGATGTTAATTACCCAAATAGCTTCGTCCCTTGTCAACGTTAAAGAAGCTTTAAGCGTCTCGTCGACAATCAGGTGAGGACCATTTTTAAAGTACCACTTGAAAAGGCTTTGATTACCTGGCATAATAAATTTGACAGAGGGAAGAGGGTTATTGCGTTTAATATCATATTCGAAAGGTTTGTCAATTTGACTTTCCGAATGAGATTTTATAGTAACGTTAACGTCTATATAATCTTTCTCGTCTCCTAAATCGCCCGTATAATACGGTATAAATTTTGATGTATTTTTATTACAACTATCCGAATTCCTTCCAGAGAACCATTTAGAAGTACTAAATAGGGAAAAAAGAATTTTATTAATAAAATTTTATTGATATCTCTTCAAAATGGGCTAGAAAATTCAATTACCTATAAGCGAATGGTTCCTCAAATTGCACGTATGTTAAAAAGCTATTATCAGTTGGCATTTTCTCGATTTTGAATGGTCTATTCTTCTTAACTTTCTTTTTATAGGGAAATAATTTGTATGAAATTGGTTTTCCCGTTGGATCGTTATAAATATCGAGGATAAAATCTTTCTCCATTTTTAAATTTGTCGTATGTTTAACAGTTAGAAAATCTGTTGTGTAGCTTCCATGAGTAAGAAAATCTAAGCCTTTACTTTTAATTTCTTTATATCTTCTTTCAGAACGATAATTTAGGCTTTCAACTTCAATTTCATAAAATAGTTTGTAAAGTATTTCCGGTTCTTTGCTTTTTATATGACATTTAACATGATAATTACGAGTACCAGTTCGAAAATCAGCTTCGAATGCTGGTTGAAGTGTAAATGTATAAGCAGAGCCAGTTATACAGTTAATTGGTGCATTGGTACATTCAGGCTTAACAGCTTCTTTGCAATCTTTCAACGTATAACAGCCGATGTAATCATCTGTTGCGCAACACTCTTGATTCGGTCTACCCCGTCCCTTAGCTGTAAGTTATTAAGTAGTAATTTAATTTCAGTGTAGGGATTGGAAAGGAAATAACGATTCTTACTATTTCGGCGGCAGTTTCCTAGTCCTACGTCTAAACATTGATTACATCTTCTAACGGGATTGTTACATTGCGGAGGGAGACTCGTGAGAGGTTTTTCTTCTTTTGGGGTTTTGTTAAAAATTTCCCGTAATAAATTATCGCTCCTTGTGCATGAGAGAACGTTTAGATAGCCATTCAAATCTTTCGGAAACGTACCCTGTACAAAAGAACCAATAGGCGAATTGAATCAATGCAGACGGGACGGGGGGTAGAGAACAAGAAATGAGAAACGAAAAGAATAAATAAATAACTAAGGAATTATAGCAGCAGGCAATTTTTTATTGGAATTCCAACTACCTTATTATTATCATTATTTTCTTTTATTCTTCTTAGAGGAGAAGAGTAAAAGAAGGATGTAAGAAAAGAAAACGATTAATTTCTTTTATAAATTAACGTATTTTTGATAAATCGGCTGCTATAATTTCTAAAGTAAGACATGACACCATTCGAAGGATTATCCTTCAAATAATGCAAAAGTTAATAGGATATACGAGCATTGAATACCATATATCCTTATATTCCAATTGCATTATGCGATAATCTCTGACTAACTGTTTATAACTAGACGTATAATCTCTAGAGTTTTTACTAAGTTAGACTAGAAATTATATAAAGCGGTAAGTGTTTTTCTTTTCTCTAATGTAGTGTACACCTAATTAAACATGCATTAAACGTTGTCATCGCACTTAATCGGTTACGTTAAAATGCACGCAATACTCTTGTGCATATTCTCTTTAATTATTCATGCATCCTCCATAAAATGTCATGCTACATTATTTTTACACTTGAATACTTTTTTCACGCGATTCTTTTCTTTCATTTGTTTCTTTATTTCTCGTTGTTTTTTTTATATAGTTTGAACTTTTTTTCATTACTCTTAAACACTTTATAAACAAAAAACCAACCAAAATAGAAAGTATATAAATAACTTATATATCTATAAATATATAAATAGTTATATATATATACATATAGATAGGATAAGGAGTAAGAAAAAGTATAAAAATAAAGGTCTCTGGATGGCTTATTTCCTTGTATAAATTGTTAGAAGTACTGCTTCTGTTTCCTTTTTCTAGTTATGATTGAAAGAAAAAAAAGATACAGGGAAAAAAGAGAACAATTATGCCGCATAAACATATCAATTTGTCTCTTATTCGTAAATAATAAAAAGAACAAATAAAATAGTTTGCTTGTTTATTTTCTTCGTAGTTTTGCTGTTTCTTTTGTCCAACAGAAATAATAAAATAAATAAAGAAAATATTGATGGAAATATACTCTAGTTGATTATTATAATCTTGTCTTTCTTCTTCTATTTTCCCATATTTCAATACATACTCTATTTTCGAATATACTATATATATATATATATATATATATATATAGACATGTATAGTATATCTTATTAATTTATTATGTATATATTGAAGATGATTTATTTTCTATTACCAGTTGGGATTGAGAATTGCAAAGGTTTCATATTTTTACAGTAGATAAAAAAGACAATTGGAGAAAAAGGATTGAAAATTTAGAGAGAGAAAGAGATGGAGAGAAAAAGAGAATTGGACATCGTGCAGTAGTTATTTTGAAAAATAATAATATCATATTTTGTGTATATATATATATATACAGATATTGTAATCGTATTTAACTAAACTGTATATACACACATCTCTTATGTCTAGAGAGATAAAGATATATGAAAGTAAATAATATAAAATGAAGTAAATCATCATACAGAAATAAAATACAGTTTTCTTATTTTCCTTTTTCTTTTGGTAAACAACTCAAAAATGTTGGAACTAGATAGTTTGATTTGGAGAATAATCACGTGACTGAAGATAGTGAGCTGTCTAAAAATTATTTTTTTTTTTTTTGGAATAGTGAGAGATTAAAAATTTGGAGAGAAAAAGAAAGAGCATTCGTGCGTTAAACATGCGTATCATTTAACTAGGGAGTTTGATTTGAGCGTTTTTTAAAATTATCACGTGACTCTTTTTTAAAAAAGGATAAGAGGAACTTAGGATTAATAAGGAACTTTTAATTGGCGTAACCATTTACCTCTGTTACGATATAAGCTTAATCCTCCCAAGTAGCCTACTCAAAACCTCAAGAAGACATTTTTAAGCCTTCGAAATTAACTTTCTATTTTTGTACGAATTCAAAGAGTTCACGTGACAATTGTAAAAAGCTCTGATTAATAAATAATAAATAAGAGGAATTTTGTGAACTGGAACAGCATGCTGAAAAATCGAACATGCGGAAAAAGTCCCAACTGGTTACCTCCTTTTCCGTCTAGAGGGCCCAACGTGAAGTCACGAATTGGAAAAGATAAGAGATATTACGCGGCAAAAACTTTCGCACGCATGCGCAGACATGAGAAAAAATGATAAAAAGATATTTTTTGTCCAAACATACAAAAACTAAATTGAAATTAATAAAAACAAAAAGGAAGAAGAAGAAAATGATAAAGACAAACAATGGAAATTCTGTTAAAATTTCTATCACAAATCTATTAAAAAGACTATATATATTAATATTTTTTAATATATTAATAAGAAGAAAATGTCTATAATAACGGAATGGAAAAGGTATTAATATCTAGATAATGAATGGGAAAAGAAGAAAAGAAAAAGTTTGGGAGTATAAAAAAAAGGAAAAAGCTAAATTTTAGCTTTTTTCATAAATTATTAAAAATTCATTATAAAAAAAGCATAAAAATTAAAAATAAATAACTCAGTTAATCTATTCTGAAAAATTACTGCAATTCTATATACTGCAAATATATAAATATACATTTATATATTCGCTTATATAACAGCAGTAATAATTGAAAAATCAACTTGTCTACTTAACAAACAATGCTACAGAAGACAAACTTTTATCTTAATAATAATTAATAGATAGTTAAATAAATCATAAAGTAATTCTAACAAAATAACTGATAGTCTATATATTAACAAGCAGCGCTAGCGCTGTTAATACACTATAAATAATTTTAATAAAATATATAAATAGAGAAACTAACTTTATTAAGTAAGTTTCTTTACTAAATAGATTGTTTTCTTTTAATTAGAGAGTTTATACATATATAGATATATACATATATATATATATATATATAAAGAATATATATAATATACATATATATATATATATATATATATATATATACTGTATATATATTTATATATATTAAGAGAAATAGATAGTGTATGTATATTGAAAATGATTAAACTTACCATTTCTTGGCAGCCCTCATTCAAAGTTCTGTGATAATAAACTTCACCGTTATTATATCCAGGTGGACATTTAGTTAATTTTGGGTTATTAGAGTCGCAAACTATCTTTCTAGCCTTCGTTGTTCTATCAGCCATAATTTCCACTAAAATTGTATAGTATGGTGGAATGGGATGTCTAAATGTAATATATTTATGTATGAGAATCTATTTACAGTACGTACTGTATAATTTTGAATATTTATCAAACCTGCATTGCTTTTCTGTGACAGATAGAAATCTTAAGGTATCATGATAATTATCCTTATTCTCGTCAGTCATAAAGACGTTATCGCTTTCATGAGCTACATCTTCATAATGCGGTATTGACTTCAGTTCTTTTATACCGACAGTAACCTAGAGAAATGTAATTTGTATTTAAACGAGAGCTATAATATCATATTTTTCCAATTCAAACTAAGTTGGAAAACAGTGAGAAAATGGAATTGAAGAAATGGAAAAAAAATAAATGTCGCACTTTTATTTTATGTTTTCTATCCCATGTAGAAAGTGCTTGAAAATTATTACTTGTGAAGTAGAAATTCGAACTTTTATCTTGTAATTTATCGTGTAGATCGTCCATAACAACGTTGTCGGAGACCTCTACTTTCAATTCTGTGGGGAATTGATTGTTAGGATTTCTTCTTCTTGGCAATTTAGCTAGTCTGTATATATATATACAGATATATAAAATTGCCGAAGATACTGTATATGTTTAAAGTTGGATGAATCAATATAGGAAGATTATACTATACTTTTATATAAATATACAAAGTTCATATACAGTATAATAGGTTTAATTAATTCTTAAAGGAAAGAAGAATGTTATTATGTTAGCAGTTATGTTAAGCATATTCCTTTCATGCTTAAAATAACGAAAAGTTGAGAAATGAAGCAAAAGAGGACAATAAAACAAACTAGTAAATACATATAATTCTTTCATTACAGTAAGTCACTTGTTTAGAATAGTATCGTTCTTACCAGGATGGAGTTAATAAACAATAGCTTTTTTTTTGTTATATTTAATTTGCTACGGCGTCTAATTTATATTTATGTATTTTATACGTTATACATATAAAGAAGACATACAATATATAGATATTGATTTGTTTGTATGATATTTATAAATATTGTATAAATTTATGTCATATCGAAATTAAATACCAATCTATGATGTTTCTACGATGTTCTTATTATCATATCCATTTAACTACTCTGTTAATAGAATTTGATTGTCCTATCGATTTGTAATAAATATAGAAAAGACATAAATGATAGTATAAAAAGGTTAGACAATTTAGCATAAAGAATTCATGCACGCGTCTACGTCGATTAAAAATCCCTCGTTCCGACGATTTATAAAATAACAAAGAAGCTCTTTGAAGTAATATTTCAATAGAATATGGCAACAAATCGTAACTAACAATTCAAAAAGAGTTTTATAATCTCTTCAGGTATGAACCTCCCATTATATAAAAACTAAGTATAGTATACTATTTCCTATAATTTATACTTAGTCAGATTCGTGAGAAACTTTTATAACCCTGAATAGAATTTTAATGAATTAAATGAATAAAAAGATCTTATAATAAATTAATTAAGTAAATAGACATCCTTTTTTTGTCCTAATTTTATAAATAGAAGGGAAAGGAGACAAAAAAAACGTGAGTGATATTCTCTTCTTTCTTCGTGTGTCTATGATGCGTTTCTTTAATTAATCAAAAAAGAAAATTGAATAACTGTGGAAATGAGAGGAAAAAAATTATTTCTCGATTATCAATAATTTCTTTTTTTTTCGTTAAGCCGATAAAAATATTGGATTAACGAATTGTTGGAAATAATTCAGCGAAATAGCCAGTCGAGATAGGGCGTTGAGCGGATAGATGCAAAACGGAAAATGGTAACTTGCTTTTTCTGTCCTTATTAGCTGGTCGTTGTTTTGTCCAATCTGCTAACACAAAATTGGGGATTTTACCCCGTCACAATAACTAAAGATCTTTAAACTTGGTTTTATTTACATAAGAATTTTATATATATGTTTTTTTTTAATTAATAATAATGATATACATTACCAATAAGAATAATAAGACCTATAGGTGGCGATGTAATAATAAAGAAATCCTAGATTTCTCATACATTATAGGAACCATAGTACAAAAAAATAGGCTAATCATCATAAATTAAGCGCAATCATATAAAATTATATGCAATTATAAATTCGAAGATAGTAAGAAATTGAGACAAATCCTACTTATCTTACCTTCTCCAGCTATTTTTCGATAATAATTCTTTCGCCTTATTATTTCAATTTAACATTGATATTTGTTTTTTTATCTCTTTTGTCAAGCAAGAAAATAAAAAAAAAGTTTCCCGTCCAAAAGTGGTAAAGATAACCATTAAGAAATAGAGAGAGAAGAAAAAATAATTACGTAATCGTGCCAAAATAAAGAAAAAATTGAGAATTGTAATACAAGTAAACTAATCGGGAGGAATTAATGAAACGAAAACATCAAATTCAATTTTCAGCCGCGTATGAAACGAAAGCAAAGCTAAAATACCTAATGTATAATTTGTAGGAGCAGGCCTCCTAAATTTTAGTTCTGAAAGAAAAACATTAGCTCTTTCAAAAAAAAAGTTAACGAAATAGTGCCAAAGGATTTTTCCTTTTGAGAAGAATTTTTTCACAAACTGTTAAAAAGTTAGTTTAGATGTTTTTCCTTATTATATTCTAATTATTTATCGTATGTGACGGTTCCTATCTTAATAAATATTTGATAATTGTAAAATTTTTGTTGGTTGATGTTTTTTACTATGTTAAGTGCTTAGCGAGTACCATTTTACCCCCTCTATTTCTCTCTTCATCCTTTCACTCTTTTTTCGTCTTTGCATCGTTTACGTCAGTGGTAATTATCGTCAAAAAGACGACAATTTTCGAAAATTTTAGAAAAAGTGCATGACAAAACAGAAATAAAAATTAGAATGGAGAGACAGACGGAGAAAATAAAAGAAAAATGAGGGTGGGTATATATGGGTGGGAATAAATACTTTAAACAAATAGAGGTGAAAAAGGTATGTATACGTATACACACAGACGCAGTCATTCACACACGCGTAGGAGCACTTGTGTACAGCTTTTTGGGATCAAATTTGAAAATAACGACTTGAAAAAAAAAAAGCTAGGGAACACATTCACAAATGTGCACATGTTACCATAAAAAACTATAACATCAATCAACTGTTTTCATTATTGTTTACTGTTTCAGCTTTATGCTTCTATTCAATACTATTTTACTATTTTGCTTACTAATAATGTACCTAATGTGCTTTTTATATTTTATACAAGTTTTATTAAAAGCATTGCAATTAAAAAAATTGGCAAAATTGCAGAATTCTATTACGTAATCTGCTACCTAATCTAATCATCTACACAGAAAATCGTCCGTCACAAACGATAAACCAATTAATTTGGATGCCTATTGCGTATTTATAGATATATATTTATATATAAGTCAGCTAAGCAGAAATATACAAAAGCGGCTGTTCAAGTACTACACGCTAAATGGAAATAAACAGAAAACAACAATTGGAAATACTATTTGTGAAAATATGTAATTTTAGTTATTTTGTTACTTGGTTTTTTTATGTTTCAATTTAATTTTTATAGAATTTCTTTCATTTTTTAGAAATGTGTTAAAGATAAAAACAAAACCCAAACAAATATTCTTAATAGAAATTTTTTTTTACCTTGAAGGAATGTTGCTGTTGTTTGCCCTTGGGTGATTAAAAGTGGGTAAGCGACGTCTGAAGAGAAAGGAAATGTATACATGCATTATATTTATATATATATATTTGGATACATAAATACGTATACAGTTAACAGCTATATCTAATTAGATATTCCAATACGTATAAAGATTTAAGAGAAACTGCTTTGGAAGCAAACGTAGTAAAGTAACAGTAATATCATATAGGGTACTTACGCATGCATTTCCTATCCATATTCCTTTCGCAGGCTCTTGCTTCATAATAAGGGCCTTCACAATCAGAACAGGCTGTATTCGATAAAATTATTTAGAATTAAGAAATCATTAAGTATCTTGTTTAGCAGATCACATGACTGTGATAAATAAAATAGCCTTAGCAAAAAACTAGTACGTGCTATATTAGGTGTTAGGAGGCGACGCAACGTCTAATCGTAACACGGATAGGTAAAGAGGCCGTGGTGATTTTCTTTCGCCCTATTCCCTATTCGTCTTATTACCCCTACATTTCCCAAAGACTTTCCTTTTCCCTTCGTAGTTTCCGCCGTTGTAAGTGTAATTACTAGGAAGCACACGATACCATAATTTGAAATCGATAACTCTATATTGAATTCGTTGACCGATAAAACCATTATCATCGCCCGACTTTACCTTCATGTGAAGGTTGTAAAATGAACGAGAAACTGACTTCTCTTTTTGGTAAATTTTTTGATAAAAGAAATAGCTTTCCTTACTTTTAGTAACATTAAAAATCTAGTTGCGCTGAGATAAAAGCATGATCAGGATAAAAAGAAGGGAATAAACTCTAACAGAAGAGCCCCCCGTAATACAATTTTCTACTGGTCTATACAACGGAGCATTTATAAAAGGGAGAATTTTCTAAAAAGGCCTGGCCACAACGGAACTCAGCTATAGCCAATAAGAAGATGGAACGGAAACGCCGGGGATGTTGAAACGACGAAGAGGAGGCTGCTATCGAACGACGAAGAGAACGCTTCAAGACATTTTCAATCAATGGGCGCTTGCCAATCTTCATTTGTATTTAGCTAGTCCCTACTACGATTGTCGATTTTTCGTCGTTTTTTTTTACCCTTCATTCTTCAGTGCTGACCGACGCCCTCATCTCATTTGATTCGCTTTATTTGCTGTTCGTTTGCTAAATAAACCTCACCCTTTTCGCTAACAAATTTTTCACTTTCCAAATTCCAGTTAGATCAATTAGGAAACACAACTTCTACCATAAATTTATTACCAAATTAACTCAAGATTGGCTTGTACTAGTTTGTGTTTAACACTTGCAAAAATATTGTGACTGGGTTGGGTGACTACTCTCTTAGTTCCTCTAGTGTATAAAATGAGGTGATTGAGGCTTAATTTTCTCAAGTAAACAAAGTGTCTCCTCTACCAATTTTCTCCCTCTTTCACTCTTTCTCTCTCCCATTCTTTTGCTAAAAACTCATTCAACCCTATCATTCCTTCAAAGTTTCTTTCTTTCCCTTTTCTGCCTCTTTCTACATAAATA